CGTAGCCGAAGGAAGTTTAGAAGTCAAACTTCCGACATTATGGACAGATGGAAAAGCACAGGTGGGAAGAGTCAGAGAAGAGAAGAGAAGATCAAAAAAGAGAAAGTCTCAGAAGAAAGATGATCCAGGTGCGCGAAAAGGTAGGAAAGTCGCACAACATTGTGTTTTTCCAATGATTTGTAGCTCCGGAGGGTCGAAAAGTAGGCTCGCTAGAGCGGCGGGTGCGGAGCCATGTGGTCAGATGAAAGAAGATGAAACGTTGCACGCCGTAGTGGCGCGAAGCACATTTCCAAGTCAAAATGTACAAAACACCTCAGCTCCGGACCACTTTTGGAAGTTGAGATGTCAAAAAAGTGCACGCCGTTGTGGCGCGAAGCACATTTCCAAGTCAAAACGTACAACACACCATTCTCGGACCACTTTTAGAAGTTGCGATGTCGAAAAAGTGCACGCCATTGTGGCGCGAAGCGCATTTCCAAGTCAAAATGTACAAACCACCTCATGCTCGGACCACTTTTAGAAGTTGAGATGTCGAACAAGTGCACGCCGTTGTGGTGCGAAGCACATTTCGTAGTCAAAAGTGCAAAAAAATGCGGGGTATGGCACTTTTGGACGTTCAGATGTCGTTTCGCCTGGCAGGCGCAAGGGATTGTTGACCTTGTCAAAAGTGAGCAAAACGTGAGGGTTTTGTAGCAGTTTTAAAAAAATGATGGCAGGCATGGGACATATGCAGAGGATCTGGCAAGATGCATGTCGCGTGGCAGGCACAGTGCAAGAGACATGTTCATCAGAGCTGTTAGGAGGTCAGGGCGCTGATTTCCTGAGATGGGTTGCAATTTGGAGCATCAGATCTTGAGGTTTGCTGAGGTGATTTTGCGTGACAGGTGCAGCACTTCGTATGATCTGGCATCAATTTTTCGTGGCAGGCACAGCACTTTAGACAGATGGAGTGGAAAAATCGGAAAACGCATTGGTACGAGGAGGAAGTCTCGCAGAATTGTTTCGTTTTTGATATTGTCAACTTCGAAAATTGATGAAGTCTGGCAGAATTGTCTCGTTTTGGATGTTGTCAACTTCAAAAATTGAGGAAGTCCCGCAGAATTGTTTCGTTTTTGACGTTGTCAAGTTCAAAAACTGAGAATCTCGCAGAGTAGCTGCGTTTTTTGATGTTGTCAAGTTCAAAAACTGAGTAAGTCTCGCAGAATAGCTTCGTTTTGAAGCTTGCAGATAGACAGATAGATAGACAGACAGGTACAACTGCAACTACCACTACAAGTACCAGTACACTACACTACTACTACAACTACAAGTACAAATATACTACGCTACATTACCCAACACTAACTACACTACACTACACTAATTGCATCTAATTACACTACACTACACTTCTTGCACTACAACTACTACAACAGCAGCTCTACAACAGCAACTACTACAACAGCAACTACTACAACAGCAACTACTATTAGTACTACTAGTATTACTAGTACTACTAGTGCTACTGGTACTACTGGTACAACTAGTACAACTAGTACTAGTACTAGTACTAGTAACTAGTACTAGTACTAGAACTAGTAGTAGTACTACTAGTAGTAGTACTACTAGTAGTAGTAGTAGTACTATTACTACTACTACTGCTACTACCACCACCATCACCACCACCACCACCACAGCTACAACTACAATTACAGCTGCGCTACATTACACTACCTTCAACTATTTAAATTGCAGTACGTTACAGCTACAAATACAAATGCAACTACAACTACACGACATTACACAGCACTACACTACACTAATTACTTGACATTACACACCATTGCAACTACCACTACGTTGCACTACACGACACTACACTACAACTACAACTACACTACTTTACACTACAAAACACTGGACTACACTACACTATACACTATACCACGCTACAGCACACAACACTACAGCACACTGCAATACACTACACTAATTACACCACACCACAACTACAATTGAAACTGCAACTACACTACAGTAATTACAATACATTACAACTACAACTTACAACTCCACTACAAGGACAACTACACCTACAACTACGAATACAACTAGAGCTGCACTACACCACACTACATCCAGCAGTTGTGGTGAGGTGACCACTGCAACCATTGCAACCACTCCAGAAAACACAACTCCAACCACCTTTTGGTCCATCAGCGGATTCGCTCTGCCATCCGTGATTCACAACAACCAACCTCTCCTATAGGTTTCCTATTTTTGAAACTACTGCCACCGCCTTGTGCGGTACTACTGGTATATTTGCATTTGTTTTTGTAGTTGTAGTCGTAGTGTAGTGTAGTGTAGTGTAGTGTAGTGTAGTGTAGTGTAGTGTAGTGTAGTGTAGTGGTTGTTGTGGTTGTAGTTGTCTATCTGTCTATGAAAGCTTGAAAACGAAGCTATTCTGCGAGACTTCCTCAATTTTCAAAGTTGACGACACCATCAAAAACGAATTACGAGACTTCCTTCAAAAGTGCAGAACGGGGCCTCGCACCAATGTGTCTTGCAATTTTTCCATTCCATCTGTCTAAAGTATTGTGTCTGCCATGCAAAAGTGAAGCCAGGTCATACGAAGTGTTGCGCCTGTCACGCAAAATTATTTCAGCAAACCTGTAGATCTGACGCTCAAAAATGCACCTGTTCCCAGGAATTCAGTGCCCTGACCTCCTAACATGACTGACTCATGTGTTTCTGGTACTGCGCCTGCCAGGCGAAATTCATCCTCAAACGTCCCACGCTTGCCAACGTTTTTGAAACTGTTGCAAACCGCTCACGTTTTGCTCATTTTTGGCAAGGTGCACAATCGCTGCGCCTGCCACACAAAACGACTTCAATATCCAAAGATGGTCCGAGCATGTGGTGTTTTCAACATTTTTACTTCCAAATGTGCTCCACGCGACAACAGCGTGCACTTTTTGAACATCTCAACTCCCAAAGTGCTCCGAACCTGACAGTTTTTAATTTTAACGTTTTTGACTTCGAAATGTGCTTCGCGCCACAACGGCGTCCACTTTTTCCACATCTCAACTTCCAAAAGTGTTCCAAACATGTGGTGTTTTGTGCATTTTGACTTCGAAATGTGTTGCGGCACTACGCCGTGCACTTTTTTGACATTTCAATCTCTAAAGGCGCTCCGGCATTGAGGTGTTTTTAGCATTTTGACTTGGAAATGCGCTTCGCGCCACATCGGCGTGCAAGTCACGAAAGCTAGCTTGTGCTGGCTGAAGTTGCTCTTGCTTTAGCAAGGAATAGGCAGGCACCAGGACCGTAGGAAACCTTGAAACTTTCAGGTCAGACCTCCCCCTCCCCCCCTGTGCCATTGACGCTTGGCGTCGATTTTGCGGCACCACTTCTCGTGCATGTAAGCAAAGTGGAATGGGTACAGATGTAACCGTAACCTGCAACTCCCTTTATATTGGCGAACATACCCTTCGATCCCTTGGTTCCCCCCAAGAGGAGATTTCCGGCTGGTAGAGGGTCATCATCCTCATTTTCATCTTCGTGTTCGCCCTCATCACCTTCATCATCCTCATCTTCATCACCCTCATCATCCTCATCACCCTCATCATGTTCATCATGTTCATCATCCTCATCATCCTCATCATCCTCATCATCCTCTTCGTCCTCATTATGTTTGATCAGCATCCTTATCCCCTGGTCCTGCTGGGCCATTGGTCTCCTGCAAGTATAGGGTCGTCCGCTTCAGCAGTTCATCTTCAGGACGTCATGCTCAGTAACTCAACTATCAGTTCTGTAAAATCATCAGCAGAAACTTGCCAGCTTGCCACTGATCATGAATGTGTTCTTCCTCTTCCTCGTCATCATCATCATCATCCTCCTCCTCCTCCTCATGATCAGCCTCGTCATTATCATCATTATCACCATCATTATCATCATCAACATCACCATCATCATCATCATCATCACCATCATCATCATCATCATCACCATCAGCATCATCATCATCATCATGATCATCACCATCATCATCATCCATAACCATCCCCATCCCCATCCTCATCCCCTTCCTCGTCATCCTCATCATCCTCATCATCCTCTTCGTCCTCATCATCGTCGTCATCAACTCGTCCCAATTATCATCACTTTCGTCATCATCAGTTTTTTTCAATGTTCTGGTCAACAATTTCTTCAACATCAACAGATTGGCACGGTTTGTGACTTGCAACCGTTTGTGACTTGCAGCAACTCCAAAAAACCGTGTGAGACCGTGGCTGCATTCCGACTTCACCTTGCTGTTCCCCCTTTACGCTTACCACCTTACCCCAGCCTGCTAGCTTTCGTACCTCCGCCCTGGCCCCAAGTTTCCATCTCTCATGTGGCCACGTGGCTCCGCACCCGCCGCTGTATCGAGCTGACTTTTCGAACCCCCGGCGCCATCGGAAAAACACAGAGTTTTTCGATTTTTGTACCTTTTCGCGCACCTGCATCTTGTTTCTCTTCTCTGACTCGTCCTCATTGTCGGAAATTTGACTTCTAAACTTCCTTCGGCCCATCACTATGGATCCCCAAACCCCCATATATTCCCCAAAATCACCATGAATCACCACCAATCAAGTTGCTTGTCAGGTCTGTTTCCCATTAGTTTAGGCCGGGTCTTTGTTGACGAAACTCCACATTCAGAAAACGCAAACCATTGGGAAAACACCAAGGTTCGGTTTTTCCAGCTCCCGGATCAGGTGTTTATGGCCCCCCAGTGACAAAAACGCCGCCGTTCAATTTTTGCTGCTTGCAATGGGTGTGTCCATTGCACATACTCTTTTCACGCTTTTCACATGAGATCGATTTTTCGTCGATGGATTTTGGCTTGAAGGCACGTTTGATTGAACCAATGGCTTTCATAAAACCTCCAAAGCACACCATAATCATATTCATTTAGCTCCACAACATCCCATTTTCATGTTCTCCCAGATCATGTTCGGGTTTCTTTCACATTTAAACTGGGTTGGTGAATCTCCTTGTTCTTGTTGTTGCGCGGCATGGCCACCTTGGCCACCCTTGCAGCGCAACGCTGGCGGCTGCTGATTTGCGGGCTTCGCCATGGGCGCTCCGTGGAGGCTTTGCAGCAGGTTTTGGAGGAGCTGCTCTGGAAGGTTGGAAGTCTCATTTTTTGCAGTTTCAATGGAAAAATAATTTACAAACAATTTGGGAATATAGTGGGATGTGATATGATATTAGTTGGATTATGAACATTAAGAACGAACTTGTTTACTTTGGGGATTTCCGCCAAGGGAAAAAAACAACACCAATTCATAGGAATATCAAACAACTAATGATGGAAAATATCAGCATTACAACCATCTTATTAGGGAGGTTTGTTTGGGACCCCGGATTGGCAAAATTGTAAAGTCTTAACCAATACGACCCCAGATCTAAACATCGAATTCTGAAAACTTGTGAAAATTAAGATTTCACCGAAAACATCCGGGATTCTTAATGGGCAAATTGGGAATAAAACGAAAAATCAATCTACAACATTGAACAAAACTGGTTTTGTTTTGAACAAAGAACATCGAATATCTAAGCAACTAAACATCAAGAGTCACGGTTAAAACAATGAGTTTGGATGGTCAACCAACCATGTGTGTGTGTGTCGTGTACCATGGGTCAACATGAAACATGGCCATGCAAAACGACGGAAAATACTCACTCCAATGAGGCAATTTTTAAGTGGGAAATCCTGATTTGGACCACCCGATTTTTTTCTCCACATTTTTTGCATTTTACTCTGCTGATGATGATGGTGGTGGTGATGATGATGTTCTCTTGGAGTCAGGACTTTCAGCCCGCTGCGATCTTCCTGGAATTGGACCGGGAAAATTTCTATCACTTGCGCTGCAGGAGAAAAGCAACGGCTAGGGGCTTGGTCATTTTGAACAAAATAATAAATCCAACCTTGGCACTGCCCAATTGTCATTATGCTGAATGTTTTATACGATTCTGTTGCAATGGGGGTTTCGGATTGGCCATGTCAAGTCCTGAACTGGTCCAGATTGGCACTCGCAAAGGTAAGAAAGCACTTGGCTAGGTTTCCACGTGGGAAAAATCAAAATTCCACAGTTTTCTTTAAGTCATTGCACTGCACGTAATTTAATTTGGGGATATGGTGGGTTGTTAAAATCGTGGTACCCCAAATCCGAAATTAGACATTTTTGGAATTGAAACCATGGTTTTGGGGGTACCCAATTTTAGGAAACCTCCATATGTCATTAAACGCAGATGGCTGTGGATCGCAAGTATGAATTCTGAGTGATGTTCGACAGCGGCAGTACAAAAAATCATTCACAGATTCATGGTAACATATGAAAATTATGTTGAAACTTTCATGATGTGATTGCCCTACAAACTCAAATCCCAAGCCATGTAAGAAATTTCAGGAGAGATCATTTCACAGATGCTGCGCCAGAAGTCGCGGAAGCGATCAGGCGACCTGGGAGCGTTGGTCTATCATTAGCAGGGAACTTTGTGTTTTTGAGTTTGTAGCCCCAACTTGGCAGGACATAGCACAAACCCTCATGTTTTCTTGTTGCTTAGCACTTCGACCGACTTAGACCGACTTAGACTGACTTAGACCGACTGAGACCAACTGAGACCAACTTAGATCGACTTCGACCTCTTCACATATCAACTTGGCGAAACTGTTGTTTCAAACTGCAAGGAGTTCTTGTTGAAACACCATATTTTTGCAACATCAGCAGTTGTTCAGTAGTCTATAAATATACAACTGTTGTTGAAACACAAACTTGTTCAATCATTTTAATTTTAGGTTCTAACCGCGAATATCCAAGTAAACCCAATGAAGACCCATTAGTTTCCCCACTTTCCCCCCTTTCAGATGGGCTGAGCAGCGGCAGCGCCCGCTGACGCCCTTGGATCGACCCCAGTTGTGTACCCGGCGGCGCTTGGCTCAGCGGATGGCCCTGGGAAACCCCATGCAGCTCTATGCTGTGAGGCCGGGGTGTCAAAATTCAGCACCCCCGGCACCATGATAGATGGTTAATTAACGGTTAATACATGAAAAATTAGGGGTACCAACTTTTAATAGCTGGTAAGTTAGTGATAGGGGTTCCCTTCCAATGAACATTAGATGGTTAATAGTCAATTCTAATTTAGGTGATGGTTAATACATGCAATACTAATGGTATAGACGCACTTCCGAACAGGTCGTTGTTAATACATTGTATTAATGCATATTAATACTAACAATGACCAGAATTCTTGGTTTGGAACCCATGGTGAAAAACAGATGGACGCAGAGGGATTTGAGATCAGCCTGGAGGAGATATTGGGGCGAGATGCCCCAAGAGGATGCAACGTCATGGAGGGCAAAACTGCAAAGAGATTGCCCAATCCTACATGAAGTCATGTTAGAAGCAGCTTGGCAGCTTGGCCACTTTTGTTTGGTGTCATTTTGTTGTGACATCCTACCATGGGCCTGACCACCTCGGCTGAGGAACGGGATGAGTTCATGACTTACCGGATTTTGCTGGCACTGGAGCGGCGCTTAGCTCAGCGAAGTGTGAAAGGTTGGGGTGCCCAGATGGGCCGTGTTGGCAGGGACAAGGTAAACCATGCCATGAAGGGTATAAATTTGGCAGACATTGGCAAAAACATCATCATCATCGTCGTCGTCGTCGTCGTCAGCTCAAGAGACACCAACCTGCCAGGTCAGAGTTTGAATTCGGGCGCCCTGGGATTGCCAGCGCTACTGGAGCAGCGAGCTGTGCTGGAGAAGCAGCGTCTGAATGAGGCCATGAGGGCCAACCAGAGCAGATCAACCATTGGATCCCACGACTGGGAGAATGTGCTGGTCCTGTGTGGCCCAGCACATGTGAAGGACATTTAGTTGCATAGATCTGGATCTGAGTTTTTTTTTGTAAAGACCAAAGCAACTTTGGGGTGGACCTCTGAGGTCCCGGTAAGCAAGTGTAAGATGCACTGACTCCTAATCATATTCCGCCTGATCCATATTCAAGACCGCCCACAATCGTTCTGGCATGTACAGTTTCGATGTGGATGAAACTTGGGTACCACTAGAATTTTCCCCGACAGCTCAATCTGTGGGTGCCCAAATTTTGACCCATGATCCTTTGGAACCAACCATTCTTGTAACTTCTGAAGAGGAGCTCCAGCGGCGTTTGCAGTTTGCTCTTTCGGATCCCCATTTTTCCCCGCGCTTCTTGGCCATGAATGCTACACTGCTGCCACATTTGTGGCGGAACCAATCTCACCAACCCCCAGCGCAAATCGGTGATCTGGGGGACGGCGGCAGATGGGACGTGGAACTGGCGGCAAAGACGCAAGAGCTCTTGGAAGAGGTGGAGACCAAGGTGGCTCCGGTGGCCACAGCAGGGTTTGGGCCCTTGACCATGCTGGCGGATCAGGTGCCACATTTTTTTTTCCCGGTGGTTTGAGATTTGGTTCCCATGGTTTCTTGCTGGGTAATCCAAGCTGTTATTGGGGACTGTCCTCGAACCGAAGGTGTGGAGACTGCTGCCTCAAGTTGACGGTGAAGAGAGGCCTGTTCAGTATGAGCCTCCAAGTGTGGAATTCATCCATGAACGATTGCGGGAACTCTCGAAAAAGCCACTGCCAATTTGGCCAATTGTTTTGCTGGTGTACATTACATGTCCACTGCTGGTTTTTGTGGTCATTCCAGCTGCCATTGATTTATACTGGCTGCGCATTGGTCCACAAGTGCCATTGTCACTCTTGATTGACTCGCAAGAAAAAGACGTGAGGGAAAAAGATCCTCCCTGGAATTCTTCTTGTGAGGCTACCTTGAGAAAGCTGACTGACAAGCTTCCACATTCTGATTGCAATGAACATGCCTCTATGTTCCATGGGATTAGAAAATGTAAAACAATGTAAAAACAATGCGATCCAGTCACATTTTTTGCTGACACATCGGGAAGATGCTGCTCCCTTGGAGCTTTTCGGATCAAGCAGCTGTGGGCCTTCAAATTCGAGAAAACCATAGCCGAGCTTGAAGTCTTTGTTGCTTTGATGTGGGAAGATTGAGCATAAAGACCCCGCGAAAATGAGACAAAATGAGGCAATTTGAGCAACGAGATGAGAGAAACGAGAGAAACTAGTCATGCACGCAAATCAAGATAAATCAAGCAAGTCCAAGTTGCTCCTTACTTCGATCAGCGCCATGAAGCGCAAAGCGAAGGCCAAACCCAAAGCGTTGAAGGCGTCCAAGCCGAAAGAGGCCCGATGTGGTGAGAACATGGGCAAATCCACATTGACCCTTTCGAACTGATTGCAGCTTGACTAGTGAAATGTTGCTCTTTGGGGAAAAACCATTCAGAACATTCTCAACTTGGCGGCAGGAGGACTGGCTGGGAGATGAGGCTGAGGGCGAAAATCAGCCACTCGCCTTGAAGCCGCACTGAGATCAACTTTCAACATCTTTCAACATCTTTCAACCAGGATGGTACCTACAGGACCTACATGTCTACCAGTTTGACAGGATAATGGCAGGCAATGCAGGCACTTTTTGGGGTAACAGTTGATGCGTAGATTGATGGGTTTTGGATCTTTCTTGTATCAAGAGCGGAGATTGCAAGTAGCCCAATATGGGAGGCCCAATATGGGCGAGGTTGATTCTGGCAGACGAGCATTTCCTTGGCTGAATTTTCTTCTGATTCCGCCGCTGTTGGACATGGCATTCATTGTGGGATCCATGGCATTGTCAGATGTCCAAAGGCTTGATCTCGGCAGCGATGATGAAGCAGAGGCCATGCAATCCGCCAGTGCTTCTATATATCCAATCTATCCATAAAATTTGGTCATTTACTGGCTGATTTATAGGCTATGCCGCTATGCCCATTGGCTCGTTCTGTGGATCCACTTGAGCCACTCATGCCAAGATCATCAAAGACCTAGTTTGGGTGGCTGCGAATCCGAAAAAATGGATGGTTCAATGTGGTTCAACGTGGTTCAATGATTCATTCGCTTTGTTGGTACCGATTTCTCAGGACCACTTTGAGGAGGAAGATGAGGGTGATGTGGAGCCAGAGGATGATGCAGCTGCCATGGATGATGACAATGAGGTGGGCAATCACCAAGTGGGATCAATTTCCGAAAACGATTTAGATGTCATCTGATGTCATGTCCAAAACTGAGGCACTCCTAGAGGCATACCCTGAAACGAATACTGCATCATCATTTTCAGCACCAAACAGTGGCAATTTTTGCCTCAGGCAGGCGATGCACAAATGGGATCTCGGATACTGGCACGAGTGGCGGAGGGCAACTGGTCTGCATCGGCTATGACTCGGCTATGACCAGCAGATGGCTGAAAAATCGGTATTTTCCTCCAATCTTGGAGGTATAGTACTGTATAGATCTGTATAGATCTGTATAGTACTGTTATATCATATCTGTTATATTTGTTATTGCAGTTGTAGTAACTTTTTGGTGGTGAGAGGTGCTGCACGGGGTGATCCGGGGTTTTCCGAATCCGCGATGCGAGGTAAGCAGATGGACCTCAGTGCGCTGAAACAGGAGATCCAGGACGATGCCGGGCTGCTGAGCAACTGGAGGAAGGCGTTCCCAGGCTGCAGATCAGGACGGTCTCCTGGTCTCCAAGGATTTTGGTTTTTTTTCGATTTTTCGGGGATTTTCCAAAAGGGGATGTAGGATATCCCAATAGAGTCAATAGAGGATTACAGTAATATATGGATAGTTGATAGGTGCTTGATGGTGGTTGATGTTGGTGTGGATGGTGGGATCAGTTTCGCATCCAGTTGAGGTGGAAGAAACAACTCACCTTAAGCGGCATGTTGAGCTGTATACCCTGACTACATTTGTGGGGTCCATGATTTGTAAAGCCTGCTGTGTTGGCCACATAGATCAGAAGGGTCAACTCGGCCAAATTCATGTTAAAGGTTGACTAATTGCTCAGCAAAGTGGTAGGCAGCAACAAACAACAGAAATGGGCGGCTGTGCGAGGCAGCTACTGGGCGAGAAGAGATCTCGGGAGGAGGCTCTGAAATGCTGTGGGTGGTAGAAAGAAATCGTTTGTAAGTGACATTATTTATAAATCATAAGGTATGGAATTGTCAATGTGACTTACCAGTTGTTGAGCAGTTTTATCGCCTTTCAGCCTTCGAGCGCTGTGTTTTTCCAGGTCTTCAAGAATTTGGTCTCCAACTGCTCCACTTATTTCGGCTACTCCGAAGAACTTGCTGTGGCTTGGACACGGAAGCGACCTGGGCAGGGCCAGCCTTTGGCAGACATTGATGTGCAACCAAAAATAAAGAAGTATCTAAAGCCAAAATGTTAGGACTGAAGGAGACTACCTGTAAACAATGGACAGAACATGATCAGGCCTACCGCAACTCGTATGTTTGTTTTTTCCAATATGTGTTGAGAGTACTTTTGTCTTAGCTGTTCAGAGACTGTTTTTGCCAGCTGATAGATTTACTTTTATGTTTTCTGTGCTATTCCATGTTTCAGTTTCAAAATAGGCAATGTTGCATAGAACAAGGAAAAACCTCAACATTAGCTATGGCATTCACAACTGAAGGCAGTTGAAGTAGACCAATTCCGAATTGAGAACGCACCCCTTTGTAGACGGCTGCCAAGGAATATTTTCTACAGATGTTTAGTCCTGAGACCGCCGTGAAGTTTTTCGAGGTGGGAAGTACAACAACTGATAGAATCTAATAGACTGATACACTCTTAAAGCCGTTACTATCTCTTACTGATAAGGAATTATGCTGGGAGCCTCGTGTGGTCGTTTTATGGAACGGGACTTCACCTCGTGGCAACTCATTGCATCCTTTTTAAATACCTCTCGCAGCAAATCGTCGTTCGCTTGTGCTGAATTGGCAGGCAAACGAACAACAACGACCCTTGACTCTCAGGACAAACACGTTGAAGGTGCCGTTTGCGCTTCTGACTACAGAGAGTGAAGTGGCTGCCACACGCAATTTCAACTCACATGGTTCCAATGTCTTTTCCAACCTCGGCTTGGATGCTCATCTCATAGTTCTCTCAAGGTGCTCCAAGGCTATTCAAAGGAGTATGCATACTGTGCTTCTTAGTAAAATAGAATGGGAATGCTGAACTAATGGTTTGTGATGTGGATGTTTACTTTGCTTTGGAGACAGTGAACCATTTGGGTCCTGCTTGCGCCACCAGGCTCGACGTAGTTCACTCATGCAAGCGCTCACTCAGCGGAAGGTGCGAAACGCGGTGTTAAAACAGAAAGCACACAAGATATCACAAGCTCACATAAACATGCAGGAAGATCTGAACAACTCGGCATCACAGGACTACAGAGCGGAATCATCGATTGAACCTCTTTTTTGGCCATTCCAATGTTGCAATGGGCTATCTTCGTCTTGTTCCATTTGCCGAACGCGGCAGGTGCAGGTGGATCCCATTGGAAGTTGGACAAAGGTGGGACTGAAGGTCTACCAGTCGCAAGTGCCGGTGGGCGCCACACCTGAGTATTTAGGAGGTCACTACATGATCCAGAGCCTTGGAGAGAAATTACACCGTGAAAGCGATTGAACACAGTCGGACACAGTCAAATTCTTAGAGTTCAATGCATTAATGACATTGGTCTCCGATTAAACTTTACTATTGTTTGTGAGAATTTCTCGAATCCATCTAAAGCACCGTAAAAAGAAATCTACGAGAGATCCACGATAAGAAAAACAATACCAGTCACTACTTCCCATCGAACACATCTGTCTCAGGAGCACCTCATCATTTATTCCTGTGATGGCTTTGGCCCCTCAGCAGGACGAGGCGAGCCAAGATCGAAGGTTTGAGATCTGGAGACAATGTGAGAGAAGGTGAGACAAAGTGTCCACATAGGTCAAAGATAGTCAAAGGTCTAGATGGTTTAACTATGTTTAACTGCAGTCAGCTCGTTGTGCCGATCTTGCAATGAAATCTCTTGGCTCCATGCACTACATTTGGCTTAGAAGTTGAGCCAACCCAACTTGCAGCTGCAGAATATGACGAGGTGAACAAAACAAGACAATGTTTTCCAAGGCTAGCATAAGCCCGGGTGTGCTACGAGTGCAAAGATTTGAAGTGTACACCAGGGGATACAATATACCTTCCACTTTGAAGCTTGAAAAAAAAGGTTTTGTCTCAGTACGGCTTTCTTCAAAACCAAGCAATGACTACGTGAGCAGAGCTAGCAACCTGAACAACATAGAGATGTCCACTCAAGTGAAGAGTCGAAGGGGCGCGATCGTTTGTGACCATCACCAGCACATTGAACAGCGGTACATAGGCAGTGATCATTTTCCCAAAGCAACCATGATCGAACGATTGAACGACTGAACCGCCATCACCCTTTTTGTATCCAGATTTAAAGCTTGTTCCTCTGAGCCAATTTTGTTTCGCCATGTCGCGAAATAACACCAAAGTTACGGTTTCAGAGCCGGAACTCCTGAATACCGGAGGGAATCGTGGCAAAAGTGGGCGAGGTAAAGACGAGATGAAAAAGGCCTCGCCAGACCTATGCCAGCTTATGGGCACTATTAGCAGTATCAATTAACCTACCATTGTGAAATGTGTTTTCCTTTGTCGGTTCCTTTGAAGCACGAAAGATAGCAGTCGTTACAGGGCATCACCCGACTAAGGAGTCCTAGACGCAAAGTCTTGGTTTTGAAACCTAGCTGCAAGCACTATAGATTTTGTTGCACTTATACAAGTTACAAGGCCATACAAGGCCTTCTGGCAGGTTGAATAACTACTGTAGCTAGCCTGAATGGCACAAGTTGAGAGAACGTTGTCCAAGCATCTGCAATTCACCAGTTTCGACCACTTCCGCCATAAAGATCCGTAAAGTGACAACGTCATTGATGTCATTGGATGTCATTTGGATGTCATTTGGATGTCATTTGGATGTCATTTGGATGTCATTTGGATGTCATTTGGATGTCATACCTGGGCCCTTTTTTTGGGGCTGAGGTATACTGGTGGCACCATCGGCATGTTGAAGGGCCCAGATGGAAGCCTTCGACCTGAACCGGGCGCACTGCGACAGCGCCTGCAGAAGTTGGAGGAGTTGAATCAGGTGCGGAAGCGGTGCCTCCTGAGCTTTAAGTGAATGATAACACATCTCATTAGCCATAGAATGCCATAGAATGCCATAGAATGCCATAGAATGCCACTATATATATATATTTTATATCTAGATATGCCTACCATAAACCCTAGATATGTTAGTTGTAAACCAACTTAGCTGTCGTTTTGGGACAGCACCTTGTATCCATCTTTTTGGGTAGAACTTGCCATCTGAATCTGCAATAGATCAAGCTCATGAACAGCTTCTGTCGCCAATTTCTATTTGATTTGACTCTAAGAAGAGCGCGCGAGAGTGTCTACCTCTCTCTCTCTCTTCTTGATTGCAACCAGAAATACAAGTAGTGGGGTAGTATAATATAAGTTCTGTTTGGTATCTTTTTCCATGAGCAAAACAGCCATGACAAGGCCATCATGATCACGATGATCCATCGTGATTCTTGTTCCACAACCTTCATCCTGAATTTGCTGCGAGCAGCAGGACTTATTCCCACAGTGTTATATGGAGGAGTTTGATCCCATTCTGGACTCTGCAGACATGTGTCCAAGCAACAAATGGAGGGTTATGCTGGAAAAAGAAAGTGCCGTCCAATGACATTGACACAGTCTTTCTTCCTTTTGAGCAGACCATTTGTTGTCTTTATTTGGCTACCCAGTTCAAGACACACTGTTTCTTGTGTCACAGCACTTGCAACATGTTCCTTATAAGATTCTTGTCACTTGCCAAGGTGTCCAGAGGATTGGTGTACGATTGCCAGTTGTATTGAACGCCACTACTACGACTTCGATGGCTTTGTCGTTCCATGGCAGGGCGTCAAACATCGGTAAAGGTGGTCATCGCAAAGATGTCCTGATGTGTTTACTCTGTGTTCTGACATAAAGTTTTCGGATCCAGCATAATTCTATATAATTCTGCAGTCCTGCTGTTGTCCCTCGGTGCCAACTTGGAAATGTGTCCACTGTCTTTCAGTTCAGAAAGGCGGGCCCGAACCCATGCCGTGCCTTGCCTGGGGCTGCTGACCAAGGTTTTGCATGGGACTGTTGCTTGGAAGCACCACATGCCGCGAGGTGACATGATATCCCCATGAAAACAGATTAAGCCGATTTTATTGCAATCTCAAACCCGCAGCATGAGTTTCGGAACATTGGACATGAAGGAACCTTGGCAATCCTTGATCCAATCCTTGGCACGCTTTTTGCATTTTTTGCCGACTCGTTTTTCTAACCGAACTGAGCCGACTGGTTCCCTCAGGACACCATGGCCTACACTGCTTCTGCGTTGAGCTTCATGCTCGAGCAGCTGGCGAAGCCCGTGATCTTAACAGGTGGGGCTGGTGACTGCATTGCAGCTGTGCTATGCCATAGCTATGCTGTCCAGGATCACAGCTGCCTCTTGAAGAGCCTCTCACAGATGCTGGGATCAAATTAATGGGAATTGATGGCACGACATTTTTTTTGGATGGGATAGTTTGGTGGATGAAACGGATTTGAGATGTGTTTCCTGAAAAGAGCTCTGCAAATGCATTTGAACTCTATTGCTGTTGTTCATGCAAGCAAACTTGTTAGATGTCAAAAGATGTCAAAAAGGTCTACTGATTTTCAGAATGAAGCTTCACCACATGTATGGATCAGTGGTTTTGGCATCACCATGTCTTTTGATTGTGTTCATTGACCCGTATTCCAGGTCACTGGTGCTATGACTAACCTTGCATCAAATTGATTTGTTGGAGAACCTTGCCCCACCCCACACTGTCGGCCTTCACACAGCCTTTCGCGGTTGTCCCTAATCCAAGCATTGTAGTTCCAGCTGGTGGCTGTGGAGTGCCAGTTGATTTTGTGCCCAGGATGCTCGCTCCAACGTCCTGCGGGCGGTGATTTTTGCTGGTCGGGCAGATCTGTCGGAAGTTTGCATTTTCTTTAGCAGAAACTGGGCGGAAAATTCGAGATCACCAGGTACCAGGTGTTTCCAGGTGCCATCGAAATCAATGCCTTGGCGGGAGAATTCAGGTACATGTGCCTTGCAACATGCCTACATATCCAATTTTGTCATGCTTTCCATTGCTTTCCGATCTTTCCATTCCTCCAGCGGATTGAAAACACCAGAGCAGCCTGCCTGGCTGTGGACACGAGTGTGTCTGAGGCAAGCTCTATCGTGGCAATCGTTCCAAAAAGTTGGAAACTTGCTTGAATCCAAGTGGAACAATGCCCATATCAATGGCCCATATCAATTCCCTCACAGTCGCCTTTAAGTCACAACCATTGCAACTGTCAACGAAAGCGGAACACCTGGGCTTCCAATTGAAGTTCCTTCTACCAATCCGCTTTCTAGCATGGATTCCCTTGATTCCTTTGGTCGCCTAGATTCTGCATTTTGTTATTCTTTTTGAAGTCTGGAGGGCAACTGCTACTGAATTCTCCCATCATAAAATCCACTGGTCAGGATGCCAGTTCCTTGACGCCTTTCGATTCACCCAATTTCCCTGAACTTGCGGTCGTTGGTACAGAGGCCAACTGGGTTGGTGGTTTACCCATTTCTCCAGATTCATCAGCGCCAAAACCATCCAGCGGCCAATGGGCCAATGGATCCTGGGATGTGTCTTGCCAGGTGAAAATTCACAGCCGTTTGCTTTGCAACCCACCCAAGGGCCGCTTTCGTGCGCCTTGGCGGGTGAGGTCAAAGGGGATCATTGACGCATCAAGGTTCTTTTTCTAGTCAAGGTGAATGTTTGATGATTCAACAATTACTGGATGTTTAGATGGCTTTAGCATCTCTGAGATTTCGAATTTTCCTGTGGATGTGATCATTTGCCAGCAGAGCTTTGATGCCTGTTGGAACCCCAATGACTTAACCCATGGCCTCCAATGACTAAGGTCCACATGATCAACGTGACAGACATTGTCGTGATCTATGTGGTCCCAGGCGCACCTGCACCATGAGCATCCCCTGTGTTGTTTGATGATTAATGTATATCTGTATATGTATATTATGTATAATTATATATGTATATTATGTATGAGAATAACCATGACTGCAACGTGATATTCCTCTCAAGGTCTGAATGTCTAGTGTGGGTGCTGTGCTTTGGGATCTCTTTGCTGCTCTCCCTGCCCTGACTTGGCATCTCTCTTGCCCTGCTCACTGTCATCCTTCAGTTGTGCCTCCTTTCCTTTCTGGCATCACCATTGGCCTCTGCCTGGGTGGTTTCCTTGGATTTTGGGCTTCGTGGACTTTCCTGACCACTCTGGCTCCTGGCCCGTCCACTTCGGATCTTCCTTCTCGGCCTCGTCCTCAGGCCCTCCATCTTGCTCGCCTACGGGCATACGTGCATGAGTGAACCTTCCTCCTCCCAGGACTTGTGTCAGCTGACTTCTGCAGCCCAACAGCTTACAGCAGTTGCGGAGGGTTTGAGTGGTAGGTATCCTCATAGCCGTTTGGAAGAAGAGAGCCGTTTGGAAAGAGCCTGGCATCGCCATTGGTTTGTTGTTAAGGAATCCTCCATTGTGCCTTTTGTGCCTCTGAAGTACCTTAAGAGCCCACCAAAGTTGGAGGTAGAAAGTGGTCCGCCGCCATTGCCAGATTTTTGTGTGTCAGCGGTTGAGAAGGATTTGAATTTGGCTGTTGAGCAGGCACGGGTTGTTGCCTCAGCTGTGTTCACGGCTGGTTTTTGGGCTAGAGTGAGTGGTGCTACTTACACGAAGTACACCAGCGATCTCCAGTTTGATTCCGAGCCGAAATACTGGTTGCTGCGTCGTGCCCCAGGTTTTTCTCATTTCATCCTGGTGCAATCCGAGACAGAGGCAATTCAGTTGTCATCGAACTGCAAAGAGATTGAGGTCTTGGAGGTCCTCCCATCCCTTGCTGAGGTGAAGGTGTTTTGCGTTGGCGCTTGCATCTGCATCCCCCCAGTTTGGAAATGGAGCGATCAGCTCTGAGATTATCTGACTCAGTGGATCCCAGCCTGCTGGTCCTATCAGTCCCAGACTACCTAGCAGATGGCGGAGAAGCAGTGGAGTGTTTTGCATTACCACTGATGCTACGAGATGGAGGCGTGCTTTTGGCGCTCCCTACGAGCATCATTCTCTCTGGTCTCCTTTTGCCTGATGAGCTGATTGAGGCCTCGGAGATTGTGGGACCTTCAAAGATTTTCCAAGCCAGTGTCTATGAAGAGGACGATGAAGGAACGGTGCAGCTGGTATCTGAAAATGCCAGAGTTCTGGTGTGCGATTTTCTGGACAGCATTTTGCAGTTTTGTCGTGAGTATGATCCTGTTACAGATTCTACGGCTCCTATTAGAGGGTTCTTGCCTGAGTCTCCTTTGGCAATCCCCTTGCACCATGAGCTTACAGAAGCAGCGGCATCATGGGCTCGCAGTGAAACGACTGGAAGGGTAAATTTTTACAGCGCTCGAGAAGAGCCGCCGCAAACTCCAAAGGCGAACGCTGCGAAGAAAGGGGCCGCCAAAAGAATGACAAATGCAGCCATCTCAGAGCAGCTTTCAGCTCTGGCGGCACAGGTGAAGATCCTTGCGGAGAGACAGGCACATATGACAGTACAGCCAGCTCCATCTGGGCTGGCTACATCTGCAAATCCTGCCGGAGGTCAGCTTCCTTCGCTGTCAGGTGGGCCCAAGATGCCAGCGGTCTCGGCCGGTTTTGGTGCTGGCGGACCAGCTCATCCTGCAAAGGCCCTAGCCCTGGTTGGGCCGCCTCCGAAAGTTCGGGCTCCTTTGCTGACAGCTGCTGCGCCCGACGAGCCATACGACCCTCTGGACCCAGGAATGGACCCGACGGCAATAGCGCTTACTCAACAGTCAGCAGCCATCACAACACTTGTCCAGCATCTAGTGCACGGTGGCGATGGCCTAGGACTGGAGGTAGGGGCAAGCTCCGGGCTCAGTTCGAGTTCCACAAGAGGCACGCAAAAGAGGGAGAAATTGCAACAGGATCTAGCTGCCCGGTCCTCCCAATTTTTCATGATGGTACAGCAGCAGATCTTCAGGAAAATGTATCCCTCCAGAATCATTCCCAAGACCGAGGAGGACCTGGCGAATTCTGGTGTCTCGATGCTGACGTATCTCGAGAGATACGGAGGATACAGAGGGCAGCGGGAGGCAGGCTTAACTATGTGGCTGCTCGCTCACGCCATGGACTGTGCTGCGGCATCCGACATCCACGGCGCAAAGGAGTATCTAGCCCTCTTGACCATGGCCATGGAGCAGAGTGTTTTCGATGCGGGCGACTGGAGCATTGCCTATATCTTGTCCTTGGTCGAGGACCCACCTACCGTGATGTTCTCGGATCGCATGCAGTCCATCACAGCCTCGGGTGGACCCTTTTCTTCATTGGTGCCGGCTCAGCTAGCTGCCATCAACCTTGCATATATCAAGGAGTTGGAGGTCCTGCAGTCCCGCCGAGGGGAAGTGCCATCCAAGAACAGGAAGGGGGCCAACAAGACAGCAGATGGAGAAGATCAGGTAGAATCGCCCAGTCCCAAGCGAAAACCACGCTTCCCAAGGAAGCCGAAGGGCGGCGATGTGCCGGCCAGCTGAGCGACCCAAAAATCCCTGAGGACTCTTCATGCCTGGGCCTTGATGCAAAGCCACACCATAGTTCCATGTTGCCTAGTTGCGATGTCACCTTGGCAGGTTTGCACAACGATGCTTGCGACCCTTTGAGCTTGCAAGTTTGTGGCAGTGAGGTCGATGCTCTACATGGTAAGGAGGGTTCTCATGTGCATGATACTACTTTGGAAGTTGGGCAAAGCGCAGCTTCGGCACAGGCTAACACTGCATGTTTTGGGGTAGGTGCCACAACGCCGCACTCACCTCTTGTTCAGGAATTTACAAAATGCAAAGCCTCTGATTGGTGGTCCAAGATCAGCACAGCAGTTCTTCGATCTAGGACCAGTTTTGGAGCATTTTTGAATTTTTCCATCAGACTGACCAGGAGCTCAGCCTCTTTAGGCCCTCCTGCTCCGACCTTGTTCCCTGTACCAGTCCGTCCGGGACTTTACAACAGGATGCCCACAGGTGTTTCAGCCAAGAAGCGCAGAAGAATCCACTTGGAACGCATGGTGCATGTCATGACTATGGCTCTGAACTTTTGGCATTCAGGTGGAGAGTTCAACAACGCTTCTTCTTTGTGGAGGGACATGAACCGCTGGCAAAAGAGTTTGGTAGCGCGCTTGAAGTCCTTTATAAGGTCGGACGGCTTGGATGTGGAGTTTGATGCACTACATTCGGGCCGAAAACAACCCGAGTTGATAGCACGGCTTTGTGACCTGACAGACTTTCTTTTGGCTAATGGATGTACTTCAAACCCCTTTGACCGTGCGTTTCAGGGGTATCAAGCTGGTTTTGACGCTGACAGATTTCCTGAGCTACAGCCCTACCGTGACTTAGACCCTTCGAGGCTTCGTCTTTCAGGTGAGGGGCATTGGGACATCACACAGTACCTCTCTGACCAGCTAGTGCTTCCATATCGAGAGCCTGATGTCTTGAAGGTCGACCGTGTGCCTTCTGTTTGGGAGTACCCGCGGCTGCGCGATGGGCCTGACAGGATCCTGGCTTTAGCAAAGCTGTGGGATGCGAACAACCTTTTGCTACTCCATCAAGAAGGCACAACCATGCCAGACTATGAGAAGGTTCGCATCTTCAATGCGTACAAAAACAACGAGCAAGACCGCCAGATCGGCGACCGCCGTGGTCGAAATTCTGTGGAGGCAGTGGTAAAAGGTCCGGCTTCCCAATTGCCTGCCGGCTCTGACCTTTGTGATGCTGCAGTTGATGTCAAGGGTTCGAGAGTTGCCATTACCATTTCAGATAGGCGTGATTACTATCATCAGATTTGGTCTACACGTGGAAGGGCAGTTTCCAATACTCTTGGGCCTGGGGTTCCTTTGTCATGGCTCACTGACACCAAAGCATATAGCGTTTTCATGTTGGAGCATGCCAGACGGAAGAAGTACGACAGACTGCGGGATGGTGACCTTTTACATGTTCATGCCACAGCCTCACATGCCAATACTTGCGACCTTGCGTATGTTTCGTTTCGTTCAGTTTTACAGGGTGATCACATCGGGGTTGACCTTGCCACAGACAGCCATACGTCTCTGCTTCAGGAATTTGGGCTTTTAGCTGACCAATGTAGACTGACAGCGAACAGACCATGCAGAGACTCAAGCGTTATGCAAGGGCTGGTCATTGATGACTTTTTCTGTGTTTCTTTTGACCCCAAAGACACTCCTGACGGCGAAACAAAAGCAGCGGAAGCCTACACAAAATCGCAACGGGCCTACAAGCAGGCAAGACTGACAGGTTCTCCCCAGAAAGATATTTGGGCGGCAAAAGAGGGCAAGGTGATAGGAGCTTACATCAACGGGTCCGATCGGGCCATGCAGAGGGGCCTGTGCACTGTTGGGCCCCCACCTCAGAAGAAGTTAGCTCTTGCGCAAATCACCTTGGAGCTTTGTCGTTTGGGCTACACTACAGTTGGGTTGCACAGTTGCGTGGTTGTTGCTTGGGTTTCCATGTTGGTGTACAGGCGACCTATGATGGGCCTCCTGAACAAAGCTTTTCGCCTTCTGGAAAACGAGGACAGGTCGTTGAGCGACAATGCAATCATTCAGCTGCCTAGAGAAGTAGCCCAGGAACTGGTACTTGTATCTGTGCTTTCCCCTCTCATAATGTCCAACATTGCTGCGCCCTACGATCCCAACATTTATTGCACTGACGCCTCGGAGCAGGGCGGTGGAGTTTGTGAAGCACACGTTGGGAGCTTGGTGTCAGAGGTCCTTTTCAAGAGCTGCAGAACAAAGGGAGCTTATACAAAGTTGTTGTCACCGCTTGACAGGGTTATGCACAAGCTCAATGCGCTTGAAGAGTTCGACGCTCCAGAGCTGTCTCACCCGAAGCCGGGAAGGCCGCTTGCCTTCGTCTTTGAGTTTATTGAGGTATTTTCCGGTGCAAGCAGAGTGACAGAATTTGTGGCTTCTTTTGGAATAGTTTGTGGGCCTCCACTTGATATCAGTTTTTCCGAGGAGTATGACTTAAGACTGGTTCATGTTGTTGCTTGGCTCACCCACTTGATCCAGTCGGGAACCCTGAAGGGCTTGCTCCTTGAGCCCCCTTGCACAACGTTCTCGATCATGCGTAGGCCAGCCTTGCGAAGCAAGTCATGCCCCTTTGGTTTTGATGTTGACAATGCGCAGACCTCAACGGGAAATTTGCTAGGTCATAGGGCAATGCAACTAGCGTGGTGTGCAGCGGTCGAAAAGGTTGCCGCCATACTTGAAAAACCTTGGACTTCTCTGATGAGACATCTCCCTTCTTGGTCTGCCCTTCTGAGGTTGGAGTCAGCTGAGGAGATTCGCTCTGATTCATGTCAGTTTGGTTCAATTCACCAGAAGGGTTTCAGTTTCCTTGGAATCAATGTTGAGATGTCCTGCCTTGCAAAGAGATGCCAACGTACGTGTCAGCATGTTCCCATACAGGGGTCTTACACAAAAAGCTCTGCCACGTATGTGCCGAAACTTGCATACGCTTTAGCAAAATGCCTGGCCCATGCCATCCAGGCGGTGCGACACTTGCGTGATGCGGGTAGTGGCATAGAATGTTTTGGACTGGAGAATCAACTTGTGAATGATGTGGTTCTGTCTGCAGACTGGAAGGTTGTGGACGCATGGCGTTTTCGCTCTCCCCTGCATATCAACCTTTTAGAGCTGAAGTCTGTCGAGAGGTTAGTTTTGCGGAAAGCCAGAGAGGGTAAACCAATAAAGTTCTGTGATATAGTTGACTCCAATGTTTCCAGAGGGGCTCTAGGAAAGGGACGCTCCGCTTCAGTTGCAGTTTCCAGAGTGTTGAAAAGAATTGGAGCCACCTTGGTAGCCTCAGATCTTTATATGGTCAACCCGTTTTGTCCCACACGTTGGAATCCGTCTGACTGCCCGTCCCGTGAGCTTGAGTTGCCCCTACCTGTGCCCGGCCTTGGATTTCGTTCTTTGTGCCGTGATGCTCTGTTTGATCTCGCCACTCACAGTCCTCTTCGTCGCTGGGCTTCAAATTGGTCAAGGCTGGTCCTCTTGCTTTTGTCCTGTTCTGCACTTCGTCTTTCCGACCGTGCCAGTTTCCGGGTCAGCCATGTCCATGATCGCATCCGCTATGGTGTCGGTTTGGATTTCCCCCAGTGTTCTGATGTGGACTTCAGTGCCTTGGACTTTGACGCCACACTTGGTTTCCCTGGTGAGGGTCCTTCGTTTCCTGTCCATTGCATCTCTGCGCTTCTCGGGCTGCTGTCTGCTCCCCTCTGGCTGTCCTCTTGGGTGCTGCTGTGGGGTGCTGGGTGGACCTTGGTAGGTAGTGCACATGCCATGGAATGGCGACAAGGGCATCAAGACCTTCGGCGTGCACGAGACAGAGCATCCAGACCCCTCCAAGAGGGTAGACCCACACTGCCAGTTACACAGAAGCTGCGTGAGCGATACTGGGCACTGTTTGAGGAGTGGTTAGCACAAGAAGGCATAGACTTCAATGAGTTGCTCGATGACTCATACCATCAGCTGGAAGAGATAAACGCTGTACTTGTCACTTTTGGGAGAAAACTGTATACTTCAGGGAAACCCTATAATGTTTTCGCAGAGACTCTGAACTGCCTTTCCTCGAAGCGGCCTTCTCTGCGACGACATTTGCAAGGTGCATGGGATCTAGCGTTTACATGGACAAGGGCAGAACCTGTCTGTCACCACACAGCAATGCCATGGCAGATTTTGCTTGCTATGATATCGCTGGCCCTAGCTTATGGCTGGGTAAATGTGGCAGGCGCACTTGCTTTGTCTTGGGGATCTCTTCTTAGAGCTGGCGAGTTGTTGGCAGCGAGAAGGCGAGATTTGCTACTACCCATGGATGTAGATTTTTGCACGTCCACTGTTTTGTTAGCAATCAAGGAGCCTAAGACCAGAGGCACAGGGGCAAAACACCAAGCGGCGAAGCTCGATGTGCCTGACCTGATTGAGGTGGTTGACTTTGCTTACAAAGATCTGTCTGAGAATGACTTGCTGTGGCCTTTCTCCGGCCAGACCTTGCGTACCAGATTCCGACACCTGCTGACAGCCTTGAAGCTCCCTACGACTCAAGTTGGCAACTTGCGTCCCCTTGACCTGGGGAGTCTGAGGTCGGGGGGTGCCACATGGCACCTACAAGTCAGTGAAGATGCGGAATACACCCGCCGTAAAGGTAGGTGGCTCAGCTTTAAGGTGATGGAAATCTACGTGCAGGAGGCCTTAGCACTGGTATATCTCAAGCGGATCTCTGAACAAAGCAAACAAGTTACCTTTGCTCTGGCAAAAGCTTTTACCTCAATTGTGGAAAGGGCAAGACAATTGCATGTTGCACGCGTACCTCCTTCTCTCTGGTTTAAGTTGATTCAGCAGGAAGACCTTTGGAGGTGATGGGGAAAATGGAAGCATTGCAGCAGGCTGCGTTTCCAGCCAGACTGCCTGTGACCAAATTCAGGATGGAAAAAGAACGGCGCTTGAGTGGTTGAGAATAACCATGACTGCAACGTGATATTCCTCTCAAGGTCTCCCACCCTTTGCTGGGACCCATCCCAAACCTGCTTCATCAACATGGAAGCATTGCAGCAGGCTGCGTTTCCAGCCAGACTGCCTGTGACCAAATTCAGGATGGAAAAAGAACGGCGCTTGAGTGGTTAATTATATATGTATATTATGTATAATTATATATGTATATTATGTATAATTATATATGTATACATATATATGTATGCACATGCATGCACACATACACAATAGACTATAGACATACATATTTACATGCAGTATATACGGCCAGGTGGTGCAGTGGAATTCAAACTATAGGCCGCTCCTGATTGAGCCTTTGTGAGCCCGAGGGCAAAAAATAACGCAACATCCGAAAAGCTAAGATTTTAATGAGAAGAAGCATAATTTCTGAATTCACGCTATATATACATACCCCATTGCATCAAAAATTTGTTTGTTTCATTGACAAACATATAAATGTACTATATATGTATAATAGATGTATAATATATGTATAATATATGTATAATATACGTATAATATATGTATAATATATGTATAATATATGTGTAATATATATATACATGTATGCAAATAATCTATATTAACATAGATATATGCCAGATGAGATCAGAACCCTTCCATAATCGCACCTTCCGCATCTGTGTTTGGATCAGGCTTTGCTGATAGCATCTTTGCTTCTCGGCGCTGAACGCCTCCCAGAGGCTTTCGTTGAATCCCCCGATATTTCAATGGCATTATGGATATCCAGCAGATCTAAAGAAGAATTTGGACGTTACTTGAGATTTGTTGTTACAATCATTGAAGATCCACAACCCTGAGGAATCCTCCAAGTTGCACTGAGGACTCTGTGGTTAATTCGGGCAAAGTCAAAGGTGTGGTTTTGCTTCTTTACGGCCGCTCGATGGCAATGGTTGGCAGCTGTTACCTGAAAGAGTTGGGCAATCCAACAAGATTCTGAGGTCCGACGATTGATCTGATTGGTTCTCATGTGGTCACAAGAAGTGCAATGCGGTTGGAAAGTTGGAAGAAAAACTCGTCCAGGATTTGGAACCGACAGAAGGCCTTGTCTTTTTCTCATTTCGAAGAGTTTAGAAGAGTACTTAAGGAGCATATTGGAAGATCGTAGCGTCGCCCCTGGACTACTGAGGTTGTGGCAACGCGCCAGCTCGAAAGTCAGCATTCTTGGAAGCATGCGGCAAGCTGCTACTTGGCAAGAGCGACAAGATGCTGTACTCAGTTGAAGTCAATCACGAACATCATAGTCTGAACAGTCTGAACAGTCTGAACATGTCTGCACATGTTTTATTGGCAGAGATTCAGCAGCTGGTTTTCTGTTCGATTCCATTGCACCACTTGTTAGTTCTGAGATGTTCATACTGTACAAGTCAATCCAGTCCATCCTTTGTCACTTGTTGATGCTGAGGGTCCAGGCTGGCATCATTGTGGTGGCCTGTTCCCAGTGTACCCGTGGAAGTGTGGACATCGACAAGTATGCCGTCGGCCGCGCGTTCGCCGAGAAGGGGGCCGGGCTCTTGGCAGTGGGCATGGAGGGCACTGATAGATTGATAATTACATTTGATGGACGAAGTCCCAGGTAAGTTGAACGTGAAAAACTTAAACACACACAGATATGTATATATATATTATAATATAACTTGTAACAATGAAAAATAGAAAAATATATGATAATATGTGCAGATGGCAATTGGATTCTCACACGACTCATACTGCAGGATTTCTTCGGTCGTTGGAGCCCACGGGTCAGGTCATTGCAGGGCATGACATGACAGCTGAAGCGACTGTGGGACTCCCAGTCGATGGCCACTGATGAAAGTGACGCGTGCCAAAATCTTGGGAGAGACATCGGATATCAAGACTTATCAAGTGACTTATCAAGTGACTTATCAGGTGACTTATCAAGTTGATATCAGCAGATCTATAGAATCTATGATGTGTACCTTCCGGAAATCCTGTTTGATGCTTGAAGCCTGCAAGTGGGATGACTTTTTGAAGCTGCCCTTGCCTTGGGTTTGAATTTCAGTGGTTTACTTTTCTGGAACAGTTGCACCATGTCACCATGAATGGTGAAAGTCTTTTGAAACTGATTGGCCAAGGTCACCAAACTTGCCTACCTCCTCTCCAAGGAGCTGTCGCCTGCTGATTGCAAGAAGGCAGGCAAAGTTACATCCGGCCTTTTGTTGTTTGATGTGGTAGATGTATGTCATTTCGTGTGGGTTAGGTTATGAAGTACGGGATGACAATGATATGCATGACCTGACCATACCCTGTGCTTGCGTGCTTGCCAATGAAAATCGAGTTTTCCCACAGGTGATGGCGGAAAACCTTCGCGGTGAGATGTTCTCGCCCGCCCATACACTTGAATCTTGGCTGGAAAAGCATGGAAAAGCTTCATGAACAAAAGAGAAGATTCTTAGAAGTTCATCCTGACTGAATTGATTTCGAGCCAACGGGTATTGCACCAGTAGATCACCCTCAATATGATATGGATTAATATGGACACCATGACAGCGCAAGCTCTGTGGGAGCGCTGTGACACAGTGACGCGGTGACGATCTGAGGATGTGTCCTCCTGGAATAATCTCCACATGTCTAATAGTTGGACAAGCCTCCAAAGCATTCCTTAACGAGGCCAGGTGTGCAACTCGTGGGCAACTCGTGGGGGTGGTGGTATGCCATGTGATGCCAAGCCTTGTGCCACGCAGATTGCTCCCTCAGGCTTCCATGGAGCTGTTCCAGATCTGTGTGATGCGGGAAGCCATGGCCCATGGTCGGTACACAAATCTGTACAAGCCGGTTTTGTGTACCCAGATTTGGTTGAGATTTATGCCAAAATATGCCAATCATCTCCTCAAGATGATCAGTCCTTCCAATCACCATGTTTTCTGGAGCTCCTTTTGCAGACTGGGCCAGGAATTCTTTAAGCCAAAAAGGCAGAGGCTTTGATTTCAACAAACCGCAAAGATGCCATCCACAGAGAGGACAAACAGTGTGGCCGCCTCCGTTCAGTCAAACTGAAGCATGTGACATGTGCAGTCGCTGCCTCTGAGCTCGGGTTGCACATGGCACTTGTGCTGAGTTCGGCACAACTTCAAACTCATGACCGACATCACATATTAGACATTTCTACACCAAACTCTTCCCCTCGCGAGCCTGTGAACCACTGCCTGGCACTTCCAGGTGGTTCTAGATATGGCAGCGGCGCCAGGCGGCAAGACTACGCCCCCTTGGCAGCAAAAATGCCATGTCCGCAGTGTCAGTTCAGGTGACTCAAGAATAGACAGGTCAATTAATCAGAGTGGATCAGCCATATGTCACTTCAGCCATTCCTGTTTTAAGCGTTTGAATCTATGGCTGAAGACCGTGTTTATCACAAGAGACCTCGTTCCTTGTAGATTGACCTCAGAGCTGACCAGGTACATTGGACAACTAATGCGGAACTCTGGGACCCTTTTCGCCAACGATTTGCGGAAAGACCGGTGTAAGGCGCAAACGGAATGTTTCGGACATGAGGACTCTCAACAATGTCTTAGCTTGGAAGGAACGACACGCTTGTGATCAAAATGGAAGATGCGAGCACAATGCCAGTAAGACACTACGACTTTGTTGGTGTTTGGGATTGTTGGGTATAAGATTACACTGAGAACTGAGAACCACTACGAAAGATGGAGTGAGGTGGATGTACCAAATCTCATGAACAATCCGGAACAATGAAGAAACCAACAGCCTTGTGCGGTCCACGAGGCATTGGTGGCGAATGTGCATCGATTGGGTTTGACCAATGTCGTGGTGTCGGGGGCCATGGCAAAGCGGCTGAAGAGATGCGGTCGAATAGAGTTGTTGAAGCAAAGCCATTGTGGCAATGGGAAAACACATGCCGCTAAAGAGTTGATAAACTTTATGGATTCATGTTTTGGATGATTAGAGTTTTTTGCCTGGCATTCTTCTTGGGCTTCGTTGTACAATTTTGCCACTTCATGTTCCATGCTCGGCCTTGTTGGATTTATTCGCAAATTCTCGGTTTAGTTTAGATCATACTAGTACCTCTAAGACCCTGATATGATTGATATGAAGATGTTTAGCACACTGGTGCCCGAAGCCAACCTGGTGGCATGCCATAGCTCTCCTTGGTTTAGGACCAACTTGGATGGCAAGAAGCTGTCGAAGATGCTACCTCGACTGGATCGGGCTCCTTGTCTGACGCCAACGAAGCAACTGGACGATGCACAGTAACGAAGCAGGTGGATTGTGCAGTTGAGAGCCATTTTATTTTCAGCCCTGGATGTTGCCCTTTGGAATCTGCAACAAAAGTGCCAAGGGGCACTTAGAAAATAATGAAAATGATTGTGGACTCTTATCGTTTAGCCTGTTTGTTGAGCCCAAACTGGCCTTGCGGTCTTCGAGGTTCTCTTGGATGCACCTTGTACAGGCTGTGATGCCCGGGCATGGGCACCATGATCCTGTACACTTGGGGTGGAATTGAAGCCTGGGTTGGTCAAAAAAAATGGTTTATAAAGTTTATAACTTTATTTGTATGGATTTGTGAAATGCCTGTGGGTGTTGGGCATCTTCATTGGCAAATCTGCAATGAACAACTCTTTGGCACGACCCTTGTCCTGTCCGTTCCATCGTGCAGGCAGTGGAATCATCGCCAGAGACCCTTCTGTGAAGGTGAAACGTGGCCAGAAGGACGCTTCTTTGGGGATGCTCCAAAGCAATGAGAAGCCCACAAAGTAGCTGTGACGATTATGATGTATCAATGAGGTCCCAAACAAGCAGGATCCTGATTGATGATGTATCAATATGTATCAGTCAGTGCCAGTTTTGCAAATTATTCCCCTCAAAATCTCCATTTTTGTGTGCTTGCTTGCTTCAATGTTGATCGTCCATTCCTGCAGTATCTACTATATAGACGTGTTTCTTTGCTCCATATGTAGTATCGCATCGAGATGCGCAAAGCTAGAAACCTCCAAGTTATTTCATGGCCCGCTACATTCTGAAGTTGAAGCTGCAAAACATGCAGCAAGAGTCAAGCAGACCGTTTCAACCCAGAGACCCAGAGATACAAGTCACTTTTCGCTCCACGATTTTGGACGTCCTTTGAGCGGTCCAGGACTTTGAGGGCCACAGCCGTTTGCAGAAAGAGTTGCTGACGGCGGCCATTGACATGGTGGATGCAGGCGATCAGGGATCATTGGAATCATTGGAATTGAATCTAGTTTTGGTTGCCATTTATAGTTGTTGCCTTGTTGCATGTTGCTTTCATAGTTGTTCACATTGTGTTCATGCTGTTGTTGCTGCTTCCAAACCGATGTGGCTTAATGTGGCACTCCACAAATGCTGCAGACGCAAAGAGCCAAGTCTCGTTTGTAATTCCACAGGTCGACTGTAAGATCTAGGAAAGACCGCAGCAAATTGATTTGAGACATTGTTGACTAGAAACAAAACTTACTGTACCATTTTCGATCATCATTCTATGTCATTCGTATGTTTGAGCAAACCAACTGACAAAGTCACATGGTCAGGCTCCAAAACTGGTGGCTACATCGTGTACTCCACCTGCTCAGTGGCTGTCGAAGAGAATGAGGCAAGAGCTTCGCAACAGTGCATCAGGTTTCGCTTTGCGGCAAAGAAAAAAGGCTTCCAATCACACTATCGACTTTGTTTCAAGTACTAAGTACATTTTGTTGTGGCCTGACTTGGGACATTTTTGGGATGAAACTCCAGGTGCCAGTGATATCCAGTTATTCTTTCAACCACTTCTCCAGGCTGTGGTGGACCATGCCTTGAAGACACGGAATGTGGAGCTGGTCTCCTTCACCAGTGCTGTCAGTTCCCGGGCAAAAATCGCTGGGTCTAAACGGCAGCAGATGGGAATATCCTGTGAATATACTATGAATATACTATGAATATAGGTGATGTAGCCCAGATATACCACGAAAAAATATTCCTGATCATGGTCGATCATTTATTTGGAAAATCCAATTGTTCATGAATTTCTCATTCTGGGGTTGCAGTATCCGAGATTCCTGTGATTGTTGCAGGAGATGGCAGTAAAATCGCCTGGAATGTTTCTGCCGAATAAGTGTGAACCAGGCACGCCACTATAGTATATTTAAAACACACACACACACATATATATAATATAGATAGATAGATAGGTAGGTAGGTAGGTAGATAGATAGATAGATAGATAGAAATGACGAGGACACAAAATGAAGTTGCATCCGTGTGTCACCTTAGTCATTTTCTCATGCCACCTCGCGCCAATGGCTCAGACTTTGGCGTGGAAGGGCTGAGCAAGTATCGCGAGCGACGCTTCCATCCTTCGCTGAACCTGTCGCGTCGCTACTACCCGCACGTGCACAACATGGACCCGAAAAGCTGCACCGTGGGCCTGTGATCATGCCAAAAAGGGCATTGTTGCTGTAACTGATAGTTCAATGTAGTTGTAATAGTGTCATCAGTGCTATCATCATTGTGATGGTCTCCGCTACTCTCCACATCATGGCCACCTTAGCTTAGTACCATTATCATCCTGGGGTTCATTTTTGACTTCAAGACACTTGGAGGGAGGATGCTGTTCCACAGTCCGCGCAGCCTGCCCATGACCGTGCCACCTTCCACCAGCTTCCAGGATGGATTCTTCGTGGCTAAACTAAAGAAAACTTCCAACAAAGTGCCCGCAACTGAGAGGAAGGGTCGCTGAATCCGGGGCTTGCAAGAGCGATGCTTGTGACACTGCCTGATGGTTTGTGATGGTTTGAGGCCAGAAAGAATCAAGAAGGATCGATCCAAAGTGGAAGACAAAGTGTGGGGCGAGGACCTCACAGCCACAGCTTTTGGATTTGCTCGCGCGCGCGCATACCTCAAAGTCAGGAGCATTGGACCTCCGACTTCATGGATTCGGTGGTGGATTTCGAGGAGTTGTGACATGTTGTGACTTTGATTCGACGATCATTTTCATTTGACAAGCCACGACAAGCCATGAGTCAGCCAGCCGTGGAAGGAGACCAATGGCGACTCCACAGTGCTCACCTTAAGACCGAGCTTACGACCCACCTTGTTTGAAAATGATACCAGGCTCCAGGCTCCACACTTTTTTGCCACCGAAGTCTGCTTTGTTCATCTTTGTTCTAGATTCTAGATCTTTCACGAAACACCCATGACATCCTTGTCACCATCTACGAATCTACATTCTTGGACTGAGGCCAAGAAGAAAAAGAAAATGAACGCCCGTGACAGAAAGAAGCAAAGGCGTCGTACACCCAGAGAGCCAAAATGCCCTGAACTTTTAGCGTCTTAGTGGCCCGGTCACCCCGGTCTGTATTTCTCAGTACTTGAGCTGCTGACATTTTCACAAGATGCAGTAAGGCCCAGCACAAATTGACATCAAGAAATGTCATCAATCATCCATCATCCATCAATGTCATCAACCATCAAGATATTAATCCCCCATAATTCTGACATGGTTAATATCTTGATGGTTGATGGATGATCTTGATGGTTGATGGTTCATATCCCGATAATCAACCCATTACAGTCCTCTATTGGGATATCGAGGTATCGATATGTCAGATATGTTGCCTTTTTGAATCCCGGGTAAGGTGATGAGCTCTTGAAAGCTCGGGGCTACGAGCAGAAGTATCCACCAAAGCCGGCGGACTCCGAAGCCAAGGACTCTACGGTACTCTACGACTCTATCGGATTGATTTCAAGAAGACATCTCTTGTGCGGATCTGTTCGATACATTTTATGTACTGCAAAGGAAAAGATCGAAAATCAAAGTAATCCGGTTATTTTTACATTTTATGCGGATCTGTTCTTAATTGATTAGAAGAAAGAGCATGCGAAGGAAGAGAACAAAGAGCCTGCCGCTGCTGCCAAAGGCAAAAAGGCCAAGGTGCTCAAACTAAGTAAGCGGCATTTCATGGATCAGTGCATTGTTCAAGCCCAAGCGAACCAGGCTGTGAAGAACTGGTTACTACATTTGTTGTAAAATGAAGCTGTATACATCCCAAAGTTGAGGACCCAAATCCCCAAACGGATTCAGAAGGATTCAAAAGGTTTTTTTCAAAGACCCGGGGTTGGCGCATTGCCCGTCCACTTGCCTAAAAGGTGAAGGCAAAGAAGAAGCGAAGCTTGGAGGAGTTGAAGATGGTGCGGGTAGAGTGGGTCGAAGGTGGGGATGATGACCCAACACATTTGAGAAGTCTGTGTACTAATTGCGTCTAAAAAGCATTAATAGCGTATAATGTGTCACTAATACCGTATAAATATACTAACGACGTATAATGGTGACTATGAAATGCGTATAAAGACTTGATAGATTAAACTATATATAGAGCCGTTCCGAGCCTTTAGATACCTTGAGATACCTTGAGATACCTTGAGATACTCAATTTCCAGCTCCCCAGCTCCTTTTGGGCCGTTCCGAGCCTTGAGATACCTTGAACCCAAATTTGAGATTTGAAGGTGATGAAAAAAATTAGTCAAGACCTCAACTTAGTTTCGGAAACCATGAGATGCAACTGGATGTTTTGCAGGATGTGGCTCCAGCGAAGGAAGCAGCAAAGGAAGCGCCACGACCCAAGAAGGTCAGAAAGGCCTCAGAGGGATCATGGATTTCTGGGAGGTTTCTAGGATGACAGGAGCTGCCATTGTGACGTTTTAGCAAACAGACAACGATTGAGGGCTGAACTATGCCGCACTGGCTGGAATGGCCCTAACAAGATCGAAGTACGATCGAAGAATTCACTTTCTGAAACAAGATCCCTGGGTCGGTTCAGTCAGAGCCCACTGAACAGTCCAAAGGTAACTACAGTACTATACATAGTAACTACTATAATTATACCTTTACTGAATATTTTAATGCTGCACTTGGAATACTGTATTGGTATCATGCAATGAACTGCACTTGCATAGAACATGACTTTGTTCAAGTAAAACACACATACACATCGCATCATATCACAACATATCACCATTTTTTATCATTTTTGGCACATTACTGTATTTAGCGTAGTGATTTCATGCTGCATTGATTTTATCCTGTGAAGGCTGTTGAGAGGGAAATGGTTTTCATGGCCTTGGGGCTGTGCTTTTCCTCTGAACAGCCTACAAGTCTCGGCACATGTCAAGAGGAAAATTGTCCATCATGAACTTCTAAATGTGTAAGAGACATGGCAACTGTATGCAATTGGGCAATATCCTGTTCTAGGTTTCCAGTTGCTTGCTGCACGTACAGAGCTCCATGGCAATTCCTGTAGGTGAAAAAGGCTGCAAAGGCCTGAGAATGACCTGAGAGTGGCCTCATGGATATCCTGTCAACCGTCGGAAAGCAAATCTCAGTTTATACTGGGACTTGTTAACTTGCCAGCAATGAAGACAATGAAACATTTTTTCCAAACACCTTGTATATACATATATATATATATAAAATAACAATCAATAAACAGAGTCAATTGAATGGTGAAAGCTGTACACTGGCACCAAGATACCCCGTAAAGATGGTCCAATATGTACTGACCCATCCCTAAATCCCAAAGGAACCGCCACGGGCGAACGAAGCAATTGCAATGACTTGGCACTAGACTGGCTAGCTCATGTTGTACCTGAAGCTTTCATTTTTTGGAGAAACTGCACTCTACTGGGGGTAATTCAGGCAACGTTGTTCAACTCATAAACATTCCGATTCCAGTTGCGTTGAAGCTTTAAACTTGAAAAGCAAAGTGAATCGATGCGATCGTAACATGAAAGATTGAGAAGCAATCAAATTCCTCGGAAAAACTCGGCAGACCTGGCCTGTGTTTGAACGGTCAGTGTCTCCGAATTGCTTTCACCCTCCGTCCATAGAAGTAAGCGGCTTGGAGGAAAAAGCTGTGCCTTTTGTGTTGGAAAGGGCACGGACCAGAAGTGCGTTTCGGCGTTTCGCTGCTCTTTTTACGCTTGTTCGTTCACCTTGGCATCAATTCAGCTCATTCAAAGCTGTATTAGTGATGACTGAACGAACATGGCTCCACTTATTGTCCCGGCGTAATGTTCCACTGAGAAATTTTGAGTCATGAATCATGGTTGGAATTGAGCATGCTCGGTCAAGTTGTTTGGAACAAAGAGATGCAAGCACACAGAGGCACGCACTAGTGCTTGAAATCATTCGTGTGGCTTCTTTGATGATAACACACCTTTAGCCAAATGAAACGCCCATTGAGCAATGGGGCCGAGGCTTGGGAGGCTGGATATGGCTGGATATGGCTGGATATGGCTGGATGTTGCCTTGACTCGGACTGACGACTGACGGCCGCAGGAAGTGCGACTCCCTATTTCTGCCATGCTGTACAGCGATGGATCCGTAGAACATCGGCACCAAACCGACGTGGTCCGGCCTCGTGGTGCTTTGTGTTTGGTTGGGGATGGTGGTGTTCTCTCTTTCCGTCTTTCAGGGCGTTAAAACATGGGGTTTTACCATGTTTTAGGATGTTTTACCTACTAAATCCTACTAATATGGCCAACTGTATCCTTCATGAAAGATCATCAATCGAAGCATAGGAGTTCTACATCTCGCCGAACAGCATCTACAGCACGTGCGAGATGCAGGAAACCACGGTGGTGTAACAGGGGAGGGAACGGTGTGGTGAAGTGTGATGTGGGACTTTCCAAGCCCAACAAGTATTCATGGAGTACATCATAATTTCACCACAATGTCAACCCTGGAAATCCCTGGAACCAACAAAGTGAGAATGAGCTCTAAAAACGGTCCACCCAATTAGGCCAACCATGGGTTTGTTATGGTTTGTTGATTGAAGGCAGACAATCTGAAAATGATGAACGTCTCAATCTGGACGTCTCGATCTGGTTCTGTTTATTTTTGGGACAGGGTACCAAGGTTTTGATGTCCATGTGGCCATGTAGTCTTTCCTAATCTTTCCTCGGAGCGCCGAGGACCGACATCCGCGAGTGGCTCAATACAAATTGCTGAAAGCTTTGAGGCGCGAAAGAAGTGGCCAGGAGTTGAACTGAGATGGTGGAACCGTGGAACCTGAAAGACTTGAACCTGAGATGGCACATGGTATAAACTTGGATAAACTTGTCACCGAAATTGATGACTCGACTCATTTCATTGGGAAGTGTGGGAGATGAAGGCTGATTCAAGTGGGACTGCCTTGTGCAAGATGGACATCCCAGGTTCCTGAGCTGAGTTTGGGCAGAAAGCTACTGCTTTAAGTCTTAGCGTCTTAGCTTTGTAGTTGTTTTCTATCTTGACATATCTTGACTATTACCACTTTGCCAATTTTTTGCTGATACCGTATCAGTTTTCGTTTCAAAGGCACACATATACTTTTCCAACTTGGAGATGCAACGAGCATCCTGTTTTAGCGGGCAGCCCTGAGGACTTGCTTTCCATGGCTGAAGCCCGCGGGGTCGACGGTGTGCTCTGTGATAGCGTTGTGCTGTTGCTGGCACCTGATAGCCTTGTGGTAGTTGACGTGTCTCGACGGCAAATGTGATTTCCTTGGTGGGTGGAATGCCTTCCTGGATTTGACTTCCTAACACATGTACAGTAATGTACAGTAAGACTAAGCTTTGCACTAGCAAGACTGGTTCACTTTGGCATCCTGCATCTATGCAATCAGCCTTTTGCATCTTTGGCTTGTGTGTTTTGCAATGTTTTGCACGAAAAGACAGATGTCACTCTAACAGTGCCTTTGACGGATCCACGTCAGGATGACAAGCGAGAAGGCTTGACCCAGCAGCTGATCTCAGATATGTTCATCAAAATGAGTTTGTGACTCGGACGAAGGAGACACGACCAGTTGGATATTTGTTGTGAGCAGATTTGAGCATTAGCTTTGCACAGACGCTGGAAGTAGCACGAGCTCAGGAAAGGCTATTGATGTGGAGTCGCCTGTTTCACAGCGATGTGGGCAAAGCAGCTTCCATCCACCGAATTCTGTTGATTCTTTGTTTCTGACTTTGACAAACACAAAAGCTGATTATCAGCTGATCAGCTGATTCATCTGATTCTGTTGATCTCTCCGAAAGCTTTGTTTTGGATACCGGTGGTCTCTGCAGGGTCAGATCCTGGGATCTTTGCGTCACAGATGTGGCCAAAGATGGATCTTTCGGGGAAAAGGCCTCAGCCAGAGGATTGACATTTGAGAAGTCTAAGAATGGCTAACTAGGCACTAAAAAAGACATGAAAAAAACAGGGACAAAAAGAACTTTCCATGTTCCAGGGAATGAAAAGGAATCTGCGTCAAGTTTATTTCTTTCCTCAAGTCCAGCTCCGGACAAGGTACTTAAGTGCCACATGTCGCAGCCAGCTTCGGCTTCCACATAGAGTTCTACATAGATTTCGACAAACAGTTTGACACAGCAGGCCAGGTTGAAGCATTGTGGTCTGGCCTCTTATCGGCAGGTGTTTCACTGCAAGAAGCATTGATGACATTGGTGATCATGAATGTCCTGCCACTTCCAGGCAACATAGGATCAGAAATTTGATGTTTTGCGAGAGCTGGTCTGTGCTGTTGTACGGTAATGACGAATCTTTCAAGGCTTTCAAGGAACCCTGCCCTAATTGTCACAGCGCACAGAGATGCAGAGAAGTCTCATGACCATTTCCCCTCAGATATTCACACCATATCCCTGCGACCTGTGTCGCCATGCCGGTGAAAAAGCTGAAGATCTCCGAAGAGCTACGGAGCATTTCTCGGTTGCTTCTGGATGAGGTGAGTCAGGGACAAATCATCATGGCATCGACACGGTAAACGTTTGCCTGGCTGTAGTTGATACTGGTTGATCTATGTTGATCTTGGTTAATTTGGCAGTTGACACTAGTTGATCATGAACTACAGCCGATATGGCCGATATATGTCGATATGCATTCATCATCATCATTCATTACCCTGGTTTGAGTGATTGACAGAATCTTACCACCCGAGGGAGCGTTGAAGCAGCTGACTTCCGCGGAGTTGGTGGAGGATGCTTTGGCGCTGGCCGTGGCGCGCGGTGTTGTCATGTATCCCACGCCACAGAAGAAGCGCGAGGCGTCGGTGGTGCCGCTGACGCTGCTTCCCTCCCCGGTGGCCGATGATTGTTTCCACTTGGCCAAGATGTTGACGTGGCTTGGTGGTCGATCTGTGAGAAACCCAACAAGAGTGAAAAGGAACCAACTAGAAGATTTCTAGCTTCAAAGGAACCAACCTTTCCATGCTTTCCAGGTTTTGCAGATTGCAAGGAGGTCCTTTTACTGATTGCAATTGCGGACTAAGGCCAGATTTCCACATTTTGATGGACAGGGTATGTTGTGCCGTGGCTGCGAGCATTAGTTCGTTGCGAAGCCAGCACCAGCTCCACAAGTCCGTGCTTGTTGGACTCAGGCGACCTGTCTTGGCTTCAAGATGCCTTGGCCAAGACTGGTGCGATTGATGAGATTTCCTGCAAACTACTGGAGATTTGCTGCAGTGTTTATAACAGCACAACGGGAAAGGACCCACGGGAAGGAAGTTTCTCAGTATTCTCAGCTGGATCCACCTTGTCTCGACTGTCGTGTTTGAAGGATCCGAAGGATGATATTCGGCTCCACCTAATGCGCAATGACTTCATGCTGGACACGCAAAAAGGCCCTGCTGAAGGTGCAATGGTTCAGATTGAATTGACACTTCATTGCAACATATTGCAACCACATCCACAGCCATTTGCCATTAACGGGAAGGAATGACAGGAAACCATGATCCTTCACTGCATCCAGCATCCAGATGAGGAATATGATGTCTGCCTCCTTTGCGACCCACGGGCAGGATCTGACCGAGGTTCATCGATACCTCCTTACGATCTGCAGCTGCAACAGTTTTTGGCACAGACATAGGCAGTAGTTTTGTTCAAAAATTCGGACATAGGGAACACATTGGGGTCATTTTCAGCATAAGATTCTTGGGGCAATTACGGTACCCAATTTTGATCCATGCCAACATGAAGGACACGTTACAGAAGGCCATATCTTTATATATCTTTCAAGTTCGCTCGGAAGATCTGTGGTTTTTGGATGTTTTTGGTATTTCACCGTTGACGCCAGTTGACTGAGGAAATACTTACCGCGTGATGCCAACTTGAGGATGGAGGCTGTTTCAGAGGCGCTGTCTGCGGCTCTGCCGACGAGCAGTGCCACTGAAGGTATGGCCGAGGCAATGTCTTTGGCTGACAAGGCAGGTCTTAGGGGCTGTTTCAGACGGATTTGTCAATTTCAGATGTAATTTTATGTAATTTTTAGACGTGACAAGAGCACTGCTTTTGTTTTCGAAAGGACATCCAATACCATCAAATCAAGGGTTTCATACCTTCAACGATCGAGCTCGATTGAAGCTGGCAGAACCAGAAGCCACAGAGACCAGCATGCTGGGTTGGACACGGTAAATTTATCATTCGCGACGGCCGGAGGCCTATAAAGCAAGGTGGCAACCGACTGGATTGCTGCAAGTCGTTCTATTTGTAGCCTTGGAGGAGGAGAAGAACGAGCTGGACCACAGGACACTGATGGATACTGATGGTATTTGTACACATTGTACACATTGTACACATTGTACACATTGTACACATTGTACACATTGTACACATTGTACACATTGCACACATTGTACACATTGTACACATTTATATAATTGCATTTGGTGATTTATTTTTATTTGAGGGGTCAGAGCCAGAAATGGATTTCAATCCAAGCTCAAAGGTGGGTGACCACGTGACCATTCTCATGATGTTCTCATGATCTCAGACCGGTGATGCACACTTAGATGCTGGACACCGTTGACTTTGCAGCTGGTTGAGACATAATCTTACAAGAAGTCTGACAAGACAACGTCCGACATAGGTAGACTCCTTTTCCTCGAGACAATGTCTTGTTTTTGTAGGATCCTTTCAGAGACAAGGCAGTTCAGCTGTTGAAAGATCGAGAATCTGGAGTAGACAAGCGTGCAAGTTTGATGTTTCACCTGTAAATTCCAGAGTCCAAAGAATTCTCTTTGATACTCTTTGCTACTCTTTGAATGATGCGTAAAATCAAACCACAGGCTTCCGCCGTGACGAAAGTAGATGGAAACCCTGGGTGCTCAAGATTTGGACCCCCATTCCATCGCGATCCCGATCCCAATCATCCCATGGATCCCTGGCCGTCGATCCCATGGTATCCCCGACAGGAAATTGGAGCTGGCTGCCTTCCGCCACGGCCTGGTCGCCCTGCGCCGGTCGTTGCAACAGCTGAAGGGCGCTGAGCTTCGGCCGCTGGCGCCGCGCCCGAACCACACGGTGCAACCGTGGGATCTCGTTGGATCCCGATGTCGTCATAACATGCGTTGCTGCTGTTCCCAATGTTGCTGCTGTTGCTGACGTTTTGTGTTATGACTTTATGACCCATCCGCCTACTAGCCGCTAGCCAGTGTCACTTGGGTCAATAAATATCAATTGTAGATGTTTGTACATTGACTTTGTGAAGATTCAGCAGCTCCAAATTTGACCCCAAGAAATGCTTGCAATACGACGTGTCAGGCGACTGTGCGGGAGCCGCTGGCGCTGGTTGTGGATGGCTATGAGGCTGGAAAGAAAGCGGTTGTGAAAGGCAATGTCAGTAGTGGCCCTATGCAACTGGAATTGCTCGGTTTTTTGGAGGTTTCGGAGATGTTTTGGTGATGTTTTGGTGTCCACACGGTGTCCACCGCTCCTCCAATCGCGTGACATGGCTCTGGAATACTCCTTTGGATACAGAATTTTCACTGCTGGCGAAGACAATAATGGACCAACACTTTTGGGATGGTTTACACCAATTTCTGGTAAAAGTTGGATGGTTTGTGATACACCATTACCATCAATGTCAATAATGGCAAAGGGGACAGTTGCTAATAGTTGAAATTTCTTGTACGCTGTATCCTGATAAATGTAAACCACTGGCCACCTGTTTGGGTCCTCTACTTGCGCAGATTCCACTTTCAAATCTTCAAAAGGCAATCTCTTCCGTTTTGGAGGGCTAACCTTTAACTGTAACTAGTCAGCCAGACCAATCAGGGCGCTGGCCAAGGGGCCGCAGCCCGTGTCTTTGCCGGAGGCCTTCGGTAGTAACCGAAGGTTATATGGCTCAACATGGGCCAACACATAGGCCCAACATAGGCCAACATGGGCCCAACATAAGCCCAACATGGCCCCAAGATGGGCCCAACATAGCCCAACATAGGCCCAACCTGGGCCAATATAGGCCCAAGATGGGCCCAACATGGCTCAACATGGGCACGAATTGGCCCAACATAAGCCCAAGATGGGCCCAAGATGGCTCAACATGGGCCCGACTTGGCCCAACATGGGCACAACCTGCGCTCAACATAGGCCCAGATAGCTTCCATACAGGCAAGCACTGCGTATTATGCCTGCCTCAGTTCAACATAGCCCTCCCTGGGTTTGCGCGGAGAATCTCGGCCCAATCTTCACACACCATACGCCAAAAGTCGTTGCTCGGCCGGCGCCCGGCTGTCAGGCGTATGCCTTTAAGTCCGGGGTTGACCTATTCTTATTGGTGCAGGTCACAACTGGTTCAAACCACTGGGCCGTCAGATTTTGTCAAAGGGGACACGTTTCTCCAGAATCAAGCTATCCAAACTTGGGTATCTCGGTAACGGTATCTCCCCATTTTTACTTGCTCCTTTTTTGACTAAGTCAAACTTTTTTCGCGTTAAATCCCAATCTGTGAGGCCACGGTGGTCTACTTCCGCTCCGGCTACTGGCCTCAGCACTTTGTTGACGCCTGGCCGTTGCGGCAGCAGATGGAACGCGCGGAGGCAGTGAAGTGCCCCTCAGCGCCAGCGCAGCTCGCAGGGATGAAGAAGGCTGGGGAGATGGACCATTTGAATCCATTGGATGATTCACCTTTCTATTCTTATGGATCCTTGTACGAGATTCCGTTCCGGCTGTTCAGTTTTTATGTCACATAGTCAGTGAAGCAGAAAGCTGGTGTTCGATTGAGAACGGTGCTACTGGGACCAGAAATATGTTGATTTCAAGTCTTTGGAGAGGCAAGTTGCCAACAAACGATTTTGCTCTTGATCTCGTGCGAAGGTGCAACAACTTCTTTGCGAGAGGAACGAATTGTTGAAATTTCTGCCAGAGGACCAGGCGACAGCTGTCTCCAGCACGTTGCGTGGCAGCTTTCCCCTTGGGTACTCTGAAAGATCACGGTACTGTGTTATCTGTTTTCAAATGGGCATGATATGAATGGGAAACGAATTAAAACGGGACTATTTTCCAGCAGTCGTGATACTCCGAGGTTTGGCAAACAATTTGACCCCAGCAGCAGCTCCAAAGAAACTCGAGAGGCTGTTGAGGCGCTTCAGCCTGGCAGTCGGCTGTTGCGACCCCTCCAGAAATCCCGAAGTTCTGGGTTCAGCTTCCGATTGAAATGAAAGGAAATCAGGGGCCTTAGGATGAACATTGTGCCACTTAAGACAATTGGGTTTACTGGCAGCAGAAGGCTAGAGAATATGGAAGATTGGAAGATACAAGAAAAAATTGCAGCTATTGATCTGCAAACAACTGGTGCATGTTGAAACATCTCCATCGGGCTGCCCAGGCCGCTAGAGCCCATCCTGGTGACTGGGTTTTGAAGCCACAGGCAGCCGCTAGAAGCCATGCATCCTCTAATCGAAAAAAACCTTGAAGCAATTGGCACCAAGCAATGTGTTTTGCAAATGATTTTTCAAGTCTCTAGGCACCAATCAGCTGATGTATTCGGACAAGTCTTTCGCTCATGAGCAGACGTGTTTGTGTGCCTCAATGCCTGCAGTGCAACAAGCGACAGCAACTTGCTATGGATATGGGGTCCCTGGGCGCACATTATGCCATTGCTGGGAGGTAGAAGGCTCTGGAGAGCTGTTCTTTGATGAGGATATTCCTCGTGTCTTGGAGCATGGCCTGATGTTTAGCACCGGTTCAAGGCTCAAATTAAGGAATGATGTTGACCAGCACCAATAATTATGTTCCAAGTGGGTGCAGGGAAACTCTACCCAACCCTAGCAGGTGTCCTACTATCCCAACATATGCCAACATTTTGCAACGTTTTGCCACTCTAGCGGAGTCACATCATCGCAGTTTATCGCAGGCATCCTGGATTCTCGGACACAAGAACAGCTCGCGGAGTTCATCTTGATGGAACGTGTAAGGCTGGGATTCCTCAGTTTGGCAGGGTGAGACATGTGCGGTTGGCCTCCACTTCTAAAGAACTTGCTGCTCATGTACTTAGTAACTTAATGTAACTGAAATAACTTCTTTGATTTGTCATGTAGTCGTTTTCGAGCTGCCAATTGTGGAAATCTGAATTCTTCGCGCTTGCAAGGCCGCCCTGCACTCCTTCGGCGATTCTGCACCAGGGTGAAGTGGTACTGCGTTCTGCCGTCCCTGGGCAAAACTGGGCCGAGTGGACGAACAGCAGAATTCAGACTGGCCATGCCCGGCGAGGTGGCAGAGTTGGGTATTTTTGGCACCTTTGTAGCGGAGGGTGGCGAAGTGAGGTGCAACAAGGTGGGCAGATTGGCAAATTGGCAGACATGTTGGATTTGTATGGATTTGTTACAATTTACAATTTTGTTTTTGGCTGATTGGTGCTTATTTCTGTCTTGGAAGTAGGGATCAAAGGTTGTTTGCTCCAAGATTCTGTTTTTCTCACTATGGACGACCAGGGATGCACACCAGGCTGTTGGACATCTTCTCAGATCAAAAGGGCAGCAGACGAATCAGGGTGGTGTCTTCGTTGGCAATGCTCGAAGCTCAGCTGTTCGATGAAAAAATGAAAAACATGTAACTTTCTGTTGGATTGTATCCACGCATGCAGATCCGAGGCCACTGTAGATGTACCATTCCTGACTCCAAACGACATTTTCTGGCATCGCGTCAAATCTTGAAAAAACCATGCCAAAATTCCAAAACGAATTATTCTAATTTAGATATATATAAATAAAATAATAAGAATTTAGAAATACGGACAAACCAAGGCTTTGCTTTCTCCCTTCCCCCTCCACAAGGTTTCGGAGCATTTCCGAGCGGTTTTATAAGTAGATAGTTATGAATTCAAATCCCAGGTCTTCGAGGATAGGCAAGCGCATAGAGCACTCAGTATGGAAATGGTTGACATAGAAAATTAATATATATATATATTTATTATATGAATGTGGGAATCTTAGCTTTCGTACACCTTCCCTGGGTTTTCATCTTTTGTAATTCTGATTTAACAAAATATTTAATGATCAAAGACGGCAATCTCTTGAATTGTTAGTAATATACGCTCGTGGCTTCGCGCCTAGATTCGCCACGATATAAATATTTTGAAATTGAGGGGATTTATAAGGGAAATATTGAATTATTTTATAAATAAAAATATTTTAGATATATATTAAATACAATTATAAATAAAAAAATAATTTTTAAAATAATAACATATAATATAATTAATAATAATTAACATATTTATGTATAATTTAATAACCTTAAAATAATTAGAATAACATTTTTTAAAATAAAAATATTAAAAAACATAAATTATTGGATTTTTGATTATGAAATATTATTTTTTAATTACTAAATTATTATTTTTATTTTATAAATTTTAATTTTTATTTAATTAAATTTATTTGAAGATTGAAAATTTTATAATAGTATTAGTTTGGAATTTTGATATATTATTATTATTTATTTTTATTTTCTAAATGATATATTTATATTGAGGAATTTATTAATATATTGAATATATTTATTTTATTTATTTATATAAATAAATATTTATTTAATTTTATTTTTTAATTTAATATTTTTTTTATTATTTTTAAATAAATATATTTTTAAGTATATTATTTTATATTTTTTAAAATATTATTATTTTGATTTCCGCACCGTATCGTTGGGCAGCCGCTCGTAACTACCAATGATGTCGGCCATTGAGACCAAAAATATCCGAAAGTACTGATTATCGGAAAAAAAAATGCGAAGAATTTGATAGCCATGTATAGCGGACTAACGCAATTCAAAAAATAACGAAAAACATGAAAAAACGGCGAAATTGCTGTTATTTACAATGTTTTTGTGCGGTGAGAAGCAGAAACCACTGCAAATACCATGGTTTTTGAGGGTCAGGTGGCCAAAAACACTGTAATTTACAGTATTTTTTAAACCAACGTTAAAAAACATTAGTATTTACGATATTTTCATTCACACCGTAACATAAAACAGCATAATTTACGAGGTTTTTGGACGTTTTGAAGCTAGCCGTCAAGCATGCAGAAAACAGAAAAACACTGTAAAAACCAGTAGTTCTGCTATCACAAAACGACGAAAATCAGTCGGAAAACGGGTCCAAAAACTCAAAAATCCGCCTCCGGGCCCGGCCACCTGCGGAACCGCAAAAAAAGATGTTGCAAACCAAAAAATTGAGGTCAAAAAATTGAAAAACACGGGTTTTTTTTTCACTTTTCGCTTGCCGATTTTGGACGGGCGCGTTCACGAACAGGTGTCTTCCGTACTGTTTTTTACAGTGTTTTTTGAAGGCGAGGGTCACGACCTATCAAAAACAGGAGATTTTGGCCGAAAAATGCCCCTCCCCAGGGTAAACTTGTAACCTTTTACGAGTGCCATCCGGAAGATCACCCCCCAGCACCTTCGGTGCGGGCGGATTTTTTTTTATAAATTTATTATTTATAATTATATTATGTTTAATTATTACTAATATTATGATCTAGCCTGACCCAGAGCGCGTGCGCGCAGTTTCTCGAGGCTAATTTTCCCAAAAATCTGCTACTTTTTTGGGAAAATTGGCGAATACAAACTTAGTCTGCGCGAATACAAACTAAGTCTGTGCTTCCTGAGAACCTGCGCGGAGGTCGAAATTTTACTACTATTTTGGGAAAAATTCTCTTCTCCCCAGTCAGTGTCCCACTAAGCAAATGCAGTACGGTCGGTCAGGGTCGGTCGGGGGTTCGATTCCCCCCTGGTCCAGTGTCGCTCGGTATTCAGTTGTGTTTGAGCATGTGCCTTCTGAGTTTCCCCCGTAGGTCTCTCATGGATCCGTTGAGCTTTCGTTTTACGTTTCCGTTCTTCTGCATGTACCGCATGCGTCTATCACTCTTTTGAGTGCACTTTCGGCCCCACTGTCGCTCGGTCGATCTCTCCTGCATCAGTTACGCTTTCGTTTTACGTTTCCGTTCTTCTGAATGTACCGCATGCGTCTATCACTCTTTTGAGTGCACTTTTGGCCCCACTGTCGCTCGGTCGGTCTTTCAGTTCCATTCGAAAAAGGGTCTTCTGGGAGCTTTGGTTTTGCGTCCACTGTCGCTCGGTAGGTCTCTCATGGATCTGTTGTTGTTGTTGTTGTTGGTGTTGGTGTTGGTGTTGGTGTTGGTGTTGGTGTTGGTGTTGGTGGTGTTGGTGTTGGTGTTGGTGTTGGTGTTGTTGTTGTTGTTGTTGTTGGTGTTGTTGGTGTTGTTGTTGTTGTTGTTGGTGTTGTTGTTGTTGTGGTTGTGGTTGTGGTTGTTGTGGTTGTTGTTGTTTTTGCTGTTGTTGTTGTTGTTGTTCGTTGTTGTTGTTGGTTGTTGTTTTTGGTGGTGATATTATTGTTATTTTTTTGATTTTGGTTATTAATTATTTGTATGTGTTTTTTTTCTCTGATTTAAATTTGCTATAGAAAATGGGTGGCCTTAAGGCACCTACAAAATGAATTTTTATGGGTTATTTTGTAATGAAACTATTTTGTGAAAAGGTTTAAGGTTTACTTTAATTTTGGATAGTAAATTATTTTATAGAAAAAAATATCGGGGCCTATGGATAAAGATAAAAATTTGATCGAAAAATAAATTTTCTAAGTTCAGGTAATTTGTAGTGAAATTACCGAATTGTATTGTGGATTTTTTAAGATTGGAACCCCTGCATTTTGTAGTGAATTTATTGCGTTTTTGATTAAAATTGAAATAAAGAAAAAAATATTTATAAAAAAATCCTAGACAAATATATAGGAAATTCAATAGTCAGATGTGTATTAATAGGCAGCCCGTGGCATCCGGAGTATTTTAGCTTGAAATTTTGGTGTCAAGATGGCACCGCCAGGGATATCATTATTGCTGCGCGGTTCGCTTGTGTGACAGGGGCGTTGAAGCACCAATATGGGATACTGCGCGGGGATGTTGGCGCATCTTGACCCAAGGTTAGGGATGGTTAGGAAATATAATAGAATAGAAAATATGAGAAAAAACTATGTTTTGATATTTTTGAAAAATACCGGGGCCACTACTAAATGGGCCCCACCCCCCACTAAACGGGTGGCTCTAACCCTTCCCCATTTAATTTCGGAATATTATTACATTTTAATTTAATTTAGATGTTATTTATCAATATATATTTATATATTTTTTATTTCTTGCCATGTGCTGGAGAGAGTTGGGAGGAATGGACTGGCAGATTTAGGCACCCCATTTTGTAGTGCTTTTATAAGTTAAAATCGTTTTGTATACCCAATGGTAACCCATTTTATAGTGTTATTATGAAGTAAAATCATTTTGTACACCCAATAGAGGCACCACTCATTCCTGCGGCGCTGCTCTGAGTCATACGGTGCAACAAGATCATGACCGGCCTCAAGGTGAAGAAAACTATCATCACTCTTATTGGTACAAGTGTCTTGGTACATTGGCCCGGCCAGGTTGGACCTATTTTGTTGCCTTGGATCTTCATGGATCTTTGTTATATTCCCTGACCATCCCTAACCTTGGGTTAAGATGCACCAACATCCCCGCGCAATATCCCATGCTGGTGCTTCAACGCCCCCGTCACACAAGCGAACCGCGCAGAAGTGATGATAATCCTGGCGGTACCATCTTGACGCCAAGACTTCAAGCCAAAATATGCTCCGATTGCCACGGGCTGACTATTGAGACACGTCTGACTATTGAACATGTGTATCAATGTGCTGCATTCCAATCTCTGGTTGCCTGCACATGCGGGTGAGAGGCCATGGCGCAGCGAGACAATCGGTGTAGCTGCAAGAAAAATGAGCGAATATTTTTGTGCCAGACGGCATCCTCAAGTTGGGTTCTTGGTGCGTTTTGGGTTTACTACAAAATGGATATCTTGAAATTGATCACGCAAAGTGGTTCTTGATTTTTCAAACTGCTCAGGGCCCCTCGGAGCCTGTTTTTAGTCTACAAATTGGGTCTTAAAAAATGGTTGAAAAGAGCCTTTGAAAACCATTTTGATGGAAAAAACAAAATCAATCCTGTTTTAACTAATTTTCAGCACTTATTTTGTAGTGAAAAGGCCTATCCAAGGCCAGGTACTTTGTAGAGAAATTTCCAGGCAGCCCATTTTGTAGATTGAGTCAAATCATTTTATAGAGAAAAATACCGGGACTACTACTAAATGGGTGACTCCAACCCCACCCCCCTAACTCGAAGGGGGATCATTTTTTGGGATTTGTTCAACATACTTAACGTAAACCTCCCGCTGTTGGAAACAGCGGGCCGACCCTAGTATATATATATATATTTTTTAAAATATATTTAACATATTTTTTAATTATTAATATTATTTTATTAATATTTTTGAATATATATATATATATTTAAATTTATTCTTTTATAATATTTATTATTATATATTTTATTTACATATAATCTAAATTGATATTTTTATTAAAATTAAAAAAATATAAATCATATTAACATAAAATTTAAAATTAATATTTATTTTTAATAATATATATATATATTAATTCTTTTTATTACAATTATTTCTAATATTATTAATAAATTTATAAGATAATATTTTCTTATATTTTCTTTATTATTTAAAATATTTTATTACCAATTAATATTAGTATTATTTTTTAAAATATATTTATAATGCAATATAGATATAATTTCATTATTTTTATATAATAAATAATACATAAAATTGTTTGATATATAATTATATACCAGGCAATTACTTCTGCCCTCTAATGGAAGCCACTTAGACCCAAAGTACCAAGGGTCACTTACAAGATCAATTAAATATAAGTGACCTCATTTCATGAATCCTTAAGTGACCTCTTTGCCTGGTTGATCTCATGATTTCTGCGTGTCACTGCGTGTCACTTGCGTGTCACTGGGGTTTCTAGGTGGGATGAAACGAGGTCACTTAGGACCCTGAAAAGGTCACTTAAGCCTGTCACTTAAGGATTGGCTGTCTGCGTGTCACCTGCGTGTCACTTGCGTGTCACTGGTAGGCCACTATTTGATTTATTTCCTTAAATGACCTTTTTCTATATTTTCCTTAATTGACCTCTTTCCAAAGACCACTTAGCAGAAAACACAAACAAGGTCACAAGGAATCATCTGGTATATATATATTAATTATATTATTATTATTTTTTAAAAATAATATTATTATAATAAATATATATTACCGATATTTTTTTAAAATATTTTTAGAAAAAATATTATTTTATAAATTCTTTATAAATCCCCTTGTCTTCCGCATGTATCTTCCCCCCTCCCCTTCATTTATGTCCAAATATATGAATCGGGGGGGAGCAGGTGGTCAAACCCGGCGACAAAAAGAGGCTTGAAAAAGGTATCAAGAAGATTTATATATTATTGCCTTTGATTAAATATGAAATATAGGAAGGATCTGTTCTGTACCAATACAAAATAATATTTGGGAAACCCCAAAAATATATTCCTCTGCGGATAAGCTATTACTAGGAACTATGAATTCATTGCAAATTAAAAATCTGAAAATATATGAAATATAGGGGGGACCAGGTCATTTACTGCGGTAGTCTGGATGAAATAAAAGAAAATCAAACCTGAGAAGTGCGAATGTCATACACCTCTTTCGATGCGTATTCATTGTTTGGTCGCTGGCGGACTCTCAACCAATCACTAATTACTTGCTGCAAGCTACGAGCAAATGTTGCCCCAACAAAACATAAAAAAAAACAAACTTGCTTTTAGCAAAGTCTTCAAGTCTATTTGACTTCACGTGATACTATATCAAATCATACCCACATGCGTGAGCAAAGCGACAGCCATTTAAGTATGACACTTGGATCTAGAGATTTGCTTTTTTTCAGCATGCCATCAATCCCTTTGAGCGCTCCTCCGAACACCTCAAAACTCTTTACAACCTCCTCCAAGACAGTAAGCTGAACTTGCTTGATGATGCTGTAAACTCATCCTATGCCATTCAGCTTGCATTGCCAGCTTGGAATAATTTTCTCCGAATTTTTCAAGTGATTTCAGAGATTTGTGAAAGGGTCTTTTGCTGCATAGCATGTGACACGTTTTGTGCGATTTGAGCAAGTCGTATGCAGTTTAGAGCTTGATTTCCAATTTTCCTGACAGCGCGTTCAGATTTCGAACGCGGAACAGTGATTTCAATCTTTGACAGAGCATTGAGATTTCGAACGCGGAATTTACACAGTGATTTCAATTTTGGAGAAACATTTAGACGTGCGAAAGAGGAATTTATAATTAGCTGCGGTACAGCTTATGAGTTTGAAGCTTCTCAGAAATCGTTTTGTGATGTTTCCACGGTTGAGACTTTTTTGAACATCCTGATGATCTCCTATTGTCTTGCGTTTCCTGGGTCCAAGCAATCTGTGAGATCGAAGTTTTTGAACCGCTTTTGATCACATTTCCAATTTGAGAGCCGTGCAAATTTGCAAGAGTTTTTTTTCCGAACTAGAGTAAGCAGACATGACGTCTGAACCGAATGTGAGTTTGGAAACAATTAGAGAATTTGACCGCAACCAAGCTTTCAGCTCTCCCTGTTGCCACAGCATTGTGAACATGCTCAGCCGCATCGTGCTTCCTTTGATCAATGAGATCAGCATTCCGCCAACAACATGTTGGCTCAAGATTAGGAGGCGTAAATTCTGCTAGCACAGTGAGACAAAAAGGGCGTGAGTTGTCAAGCAGAGTTGTCCACATTCTCAGTTGCAATTATCTACTCTTCTGGGGTGATAATTCTCGCATGGTAGCGAGAGCCAGTGTGCTCCTAGGAACCCCCCTGAATTGGTTTTCTACTAGGATTTTCCAGGGTTCAGGATTGACAACAGACAACTGATCTTGACAAGAGATCTTGGAACCTACACCTAGCAGAATCTGATTTTGCAGCCATGGAGCAGCCGGCCAGAGACAGGTCACCAAGAGGCCGTTCTCAAACGAGAAGAGGAGTTTCTTTGCCTGCAACAACCGGATATGCCCCTGGAAGTGCATACGCCTCCGTCCCCTTTGTCTTCGAGGAGCAACTCAATCGAGTCCGAATGAGCATGGACACTTTACAAGCAGAAGTTGGCAAGGCAGTTCGAGAACTTGCAGGTCACCAGAAAACTCTTGTTGACACCCTTGAGCGTCAGCAGCATGAGCTGAATGATTTACGAGCCCAAAGAGTTCCAATCCCTCCAAGTGCTTCTCAGTCAGTGGCGGCTGCCAATGAGGATCGCTTCGGTGCCATGGGAGAAACCAGTCCTTTTACTTCTGGACAAGACCCGCCCATCCAATCGCCAGTGAATGCTCAGCAAGGTGCAGGTGGACTTGCATCGGCGATGCCAAATACTGCAGTGAATGCGAGCTCAAGCACTGGACATGGGGTAAAAATTGTCTTACCCGATGGTACGGAGATCCCGTTGGGCGGCGAGTCAAATGCCGCGGGTCCTAAAGTTCCTGGATCCACACAGCTAGATGCGCTGCAGAGAAGCGACAAGTGGCTGCCTAGCATGCCCGTGGTCGAGTCGAATCGGGGGAAAGCCGAATGGAGGAGATTTTGGGCATGGAACAGTGGCTCGATTTATTTTGCAATTGGCTATCTTTGATTTCAGAGCCATTTTGCACAGAAGTGAAATTTTCTGCGACTTCTCCGCTGCCAATTGACAAGAAAGATTTGTCAACTGACCAGATTTCCCGAAGCTCCAGGCTCATGGCAATGCTTCGCCAGACCTTCCAGATGACTCCGCGAGCCAAAATCATTCTGCTTGCTTATGTAGAAGGCCCTGGAGATAAGAACGGGTATGAGGCTTTGCGAAGGATTGTCCAAGAATACATGATCAAGACTCGTGCTGAGTTGATGCATTTCCACACATCTTTGCTTGGCCGAACATTCAAAGCTCAAACAGTGACAGAGGTAATCAAGCAAATTGAGTTCGAGGAGAGCCGGTACAACAAGCTTGCTCGGATGTTGCCCTCGAATGTACCAGCTTCCGATTTGGCCCTGCTCCCTAGTGATTTGGTGATGGTCCTCATCAAATCCTTGCCTGTTGGTGTGAGGGAATATGTTGTCATGCATAGCCCAAGCCATGACTATGTGCAAATGAAAAATGCCGCTTTGTTGTACGAAGCCAACCAGAGAACTTGGACAGAGATTGCAGGCAGCAGTTCTGCCACCTACATGCATGGAATGTTTGACACGAATGACAAGCCGAAAGGAAAGGGCAAAAGCAAAGATGGTAAGAAAGGAAAGGGGAAAACAAAAGATTCAAATAAAGGTGCAGCTAAGGGCAATGGTGAAAAGTCAGAGAACGAAAGGAATGCCACGTGTTTCCGATGTGGTCGCACAGGCCATTTCTCTTCAAATTGTCATGCCAAGAAAGACAAGGATGGCAAGCCGCTTGAAGGGAAGCCCGCTCCAAAGAAAGATGGAAAGGGATCTGGTGAAAGAAAGGTTCCAGCACAGGTCCTCAGAACAAAGGAAAAGGCAAAGGATCCAAAGGTAAGAAAGTCAATGAAATGCTTGAGCAGCCTGAAGGCGAATCGTGGCCTACCAATGGTCCAGCTGAAAGTCAGGGTTCCAATGGAGATGGCAGCCGTGCGTCAGCTGCGAAGCAAGCAGCAGCCCCTTTGAATCCCATTTTGCCTACTCAGTCTTGGTTTGAAGACACGATCGTGCAGTTTGAGCGAGAGCAGATCACAGAAGAGCAGTTCGATTTGGTCCACGGATCATTTCTCATGGAGGAACAATTTTCTTCTGATTTTGATTTTTCATGTTTTGGAAACCCATCAGATTTGTGGAGTAAAACCAAGCATGTTTGTACCATGTCAGCTGCAATTTTCATGCCAATGATGCCAGATGTCCCATCAGATTTGCACTGGTGGCTCATTGATTCAGGAGCATCAGCCTCTGTTGTGAGTTCTCGCTTCCTGAAACACTATGAAGTAGTAAAGAATCAAGTGCTGGGACCAGCAACCGGCCCTGGGTTTTCATCGGCAAGCGGTGAGACAATTCATCCAACTTCCCTTGTTTGGTTGAAAGCATTTTTCCGCTTGACGTCTAAAGAAGATCCTTCAGACACCATGTTGAAAGAGTGCTTAGTTTCAGCTTTTGTAGCAGATGTTCCCAATAATGTTTTGTCAGTGGGCAGCTTGCTGCGAAAGGGTTGGTCATTAAGCAGTTCCGGAAGTGAATTGGAAGTGTGCTTTGGAGGATATAATTTGGACTTGGTGACATGGCAGAATGTGCCATGGATTTTTCACGAAGTTGAGACGGTCATGGACTTTTCCGATGATCGCGATTTGTAGAAGACATTTTGGAGCCGTCGGAAAATCCATGATGGTCCGGTGAACACGGTTGAGCATTTGAGCGAAACTGACAAATCCATGTTGATGACAACCAAGAGACAGCCAGATGTTTCATTGGAAGAACTTGACCCCGCTGCTGCATCCTCTTCTAGCCCAGCATATGTTAGTAGTAGGCCCGTTTCCGATAGTGAATCTCCATACCGTGAAAGCCTCAGTATGGAGCCTAACTCTGTTCCGGATTCGAGCGAGCCTTTTAATTATGAGCCCAATATGATTGTAGACACAAACACAGGATTTGCATCCATTCCTTCAGAAGAGTCTTCAGAGCATCCAGCTGTATTGCGAAAACGAGACTTGAATAAATCCAAGCTTGAACAACACCGCCGTCAAGGCCATTTTCCATTCCATGCAGATTGCCTTTCTTGCCAAGTAGCCAAGTCCACGACTCACCACAGAAGAAAGAAGAAATCGGTGTTGAGCAGTGAGATGGCATGTGATTTTTTCTTCTTGAACTTGGATAAAGCAAACAAAGAGTCTTTCAAGTATCTAATCATGGTAGATTTGACCGCTGGAATGAAAGGCGTGGCCCCTGTCCAGTCGGACATTCGTTTGTCGCACCGATGGATACAGGCCTGGCTTGGCGAATTCAATATGTCCACAGAATGCCCCGAGCCAATTGAAATTATCACGGACGCAGAAGAAGCTGTTTCAAGTTTCATGAAAGGTGCCATCAACCACAGGCCAGCTTCATTTGTCAAAGCGCCGCCGCAAGGTCACCAGACCATTGGTGGAGCAGAGGCTGGAGTCCGAGCAATTAAAGATGCGTTCAACGCTCTTCGGCAAGACTTGCGTGAGAATGGCTGTGATGTTTGCGTCAGGAATCAGACAGCTGTGAATGCCGCTTTGGCATATTTATGTCATTGCTCCAATTATTTTTCATGTTACTTAGATATAAAACAAATTCCAAAGTCACTTGCACTTGGTCGGGAGACGACCCGGAAAACAACCATGTTTGGCAGTCTTGTCCTTGCAGAGGTGCCAGCTAGCCTGAAGAAAGATTGCATTTCCCGATTTGAGAAGGCAATGTATTTGCGACCTGAGTTCAACTCATTGGGGGATGTCGTTTGTATTGTCATTGGAGGGCAAGAACGTTTCTTTGTTTGCAAGAGCTTTAAGATTGTTTCCCCATTGGAGTGGGACGTCTCCTTGTCTCCATCTGTTTTGCATTTTTTCGACCGGATGCAGCCTGATGTTCCCATTGAAGATCTCTCCGCAAAGATGTGAACCTCTGCCCTCTAGGATTATCGAGCCTGTGGAATATTCAAACGTCAAGAATGTTCCTTCATCCTGGATTCATGAGCATGGACGTACTAAAGGTTGTAGTGTTTGTGCGCGCCATCAGAGTTTCCACGGACTGAAGCACAATAAAAAATGTATAGACAGATATATTGAGTGGTTGAGGAGACGATCAGATCCCATGTCTGATTTCAATATGTCTCAGGGTCCTGTTTTGGCAGCCGATGGCAGCCAGGTGCGACGTTTGAGTGGCAAGCAGAAGCCACCGCCAGGCCTGGGTGAAGCTGATGAACCCATCCAGCAGAGGTTTCCAGACTTTCCAGCAAACAGAGAGAAACGAGTTTCGTTTGATCTTCCAAAGAATCAACCCATACCAGAAAGTCTCCCAGTTGAAGGGGGTCAACATCTCGATAAGAATCCACATGATGTTCCATATTCGCCCAGCCTTGCACCCAGTTCTCCAAAGGCGTTGGACGAGCCAGAAATCATCCATGACATGGAAGTAGACGACTCTGCTGACGGAATGGTAGACCTAAGTGAATTTACAGCTGCTGGAGGCGAACCTACAGCCACGGAAGCTATGGAGTTAGATTTGGTAACAGCCTTGGATAACTTTGAGCTTTCGTATTTAGAAGAGCGTCACATTGGCATGTTGCAATCGGTTTATCAGATCCGCGGAGTGAAACCCAAGAGCAGCAAGGCAAACCTTTGTGGGGAAGAAATTTTACTTTTGTTTCCTGGATATGTCATCAGTGACGCCAATGGCCAATATCTCGACAAAGACCTTGCATATGCAGGGATGCGCACTGAAATCGATTCCATGACCAGTCAGAAGGTTGGCAGACCAATCCATGAGCAGGAAGCCCAGCGTCTTGCCAAGCAATGGCAGATTAGTATAATCACTTGCCGATGGGTTTGTGTTGAGAAAGATCCCTTGAATGTTCGCATGCGACTAGTTGCACGGGAAATGGCAAAAGGAAAGAGTTCTGCCCGTGACCTCATGGTTTCTTCGCCTACTTCCAGAATTGAATCTTTGAGAATCCTCATTGCAGAAGCAGCAGTCCTGGACCTGGTGATTCTAGGCCTGGACATCAGTGCTGCATTCATGGCTTCTCCGCTAGGCCGGCGTCTTGGCAAACCCATCAAAATCATTCTGAAGATGCCACCAAATACTATGCAGTTTCCAGATGGTAGCCCGATATTCCTCGAAGCATTCAAGGCCATAAATGGCTTGAGAACAAGCGGTTCGGCTTGGGTAGAACACTTAAGCCGCTTGCTGCAAGAGTTAGGAATCAAACCGTCTTTGATTGAAACAACTGTTTTTTCTGGAGAAGTTTTAGTCAAAGGGCATGGAAAGGCATGGGTGCAAGTAGTTGCATACGTTGATGATCTGCTCGTGTTTGCCCCGAGTAAGGTATTTGCAGTTGCCGTTCAAGACCATTTGGCCCTACACCTAAAAGTAAAACGCACGGGGCTTATAGAGCGAAATTTTGAAGGGGGTGGCAGTTTGTGTTTTCTTGGCCGAAACATCGAAAGAAAATCCAACAGCAAAGAGATTACCATCAGTCTGGATAAAAACTATTTAGATGGTATGTTTGAGGCCTACAGCATCAGCACTGCCAGTATAAATCCTCCAGATCTTCGACCGATACTTGAAGACAGTTCCAAGTCTGATGAATTATCCCCAGATGCGGCCATGCGGTACAGAGCAGCCTTAGGCAAACTGTCCTGGATGTCCCAAACATATGTTTTCATCAATGTATACATAGCTTTGCTAGCCACAGGCATGACCACACCGCAAGATCGCCATGAAAAGGCTTTGAGATCAGTGTTGAAATTCATGAAAAGCCAAAGAGGCATTTACCAGAGATTCCCATCTCCCGAAGCAACCATCGAGGAACAAGAAGCGCAACGCTTGGTAATCTACTGTGATGCCAGCTGGGCCCCAATGCGCTTTCTCAAGCGTAGATCAATTTCTGGCGCGTGTGTTTTTTATCGCGGGTCCATCATCAAAGCTTTCACAAGATTGCAACAAGTGGTCGCACTTTCAAGTTGCGAGTCAGAACTGTCAGCATTAGCTGAATCCTTTCAAGAGAGCATGGGAATCAAGCGTATCTCTGAGTATCTTTTTCTAGAAACTCACGCGCATGTGACCAACATCCATGAAAGTTTTCAAGCTTCAGATCGAATACACAGTCTTGCAAACTCCCTGATTTTTGGATTAGTGTATGAAGACCTTGAACATGCCACAGCCATTGAGGTGGAAGTCCGTTGCGATTCCCAAGCAGCCATCCGAGTCCTGACCTCACCAGGGCTCCAAAGACGCAGTCGCCATGTTGAGTTGAGAATTTGTTTCTGCCAAGAGATGGTCCGAAGAAGAACCATCATTCTCACATGGGTCGAGGG